AAAAGGAAGCTTTTTTATGCACGGAAAAAAAAGAAAATTAAATACGATTCACGCGTATAAATCGATGAAGCAAAGAAATATTTGGATTTATGCGGTCTTTTTCTCGGCGGCGATGAGGATGATCATTTCCAGCGATTGCTCATTACCTGAGGAATGCGTCGTGTCGGTTACCTCGTACTTTGATTGCATATCATTATAATAACGCATATGCGCGCGTCGCTTTCTAGACACCTCAGCATGGCAGAAAGAAGTGAATGAACACTGCGAGCTTCTCCCACGCGGATTATTCAAAGTGAACGAATTGTGAAAGAGATAATGTACTGAACGATCACCAAAAAAGATTTGGTCAACACATTTGAATAACTTAAATTTCATATTTAAAGACCGTAGCGTATAAAATATCACTAGAAATATCACTTTCAATAAATATAAAAAAAGCGCTGAAGATCAAGTCTGTGTTTAAATGTAATGCCTCCTCATTTTCTAAAACATTACATTGCTGAAAGATGATCAATCTCTCCGCTGAATAAAATAATCTTTGAGCAAACAAGCCGCAAAAAAATGTAAATTTTAAAAAGTAGTAGCTAATTATTTTAATGTTTTTTTTCATAAAAATTTATGTATTTATACAGCAAAAGAAAGGAATCGAGATCGACTGACATCGATTCGTCGACAGGAACCATGTTTAATGGGGAAATTTAATTCTTATGCGAATTATAACGAATTGGATACTTTGAGACACATTGTAGATGCGAGTCCTAACGATCGCCCGTCGTTCCAATTACGAAGCGTAATTGGACGTTGAGCGCGCGTAACGCCTTGACGGTCTGGCGCGACCGTGGACGGACAGTCGGCCTTCGTCTCGCGTTTTACCTTTGCAATTCTCGTCGATCTCTATAAAACGCGGTATTTTTTCTCTGCATTGTGCAGAAATTCGAGCGTTGCAACTGTCCTCGTTTTTTCTATCATATTCGATATTGTCTACAAAGTACCGTAAAGTTTTCCATGTAAACTATCTATTTTACGTGTTAAAATAATTTTACTTTTGATGACAAAATTATTCAATCTTTGATCTCAAGATGCACAATTGCATTTAGTGCATCCCAATGATTTCACTTTTGACACACAAGGAGCAATCAAATTTTACTCACCAATATTGACAAGCTTAACGCCATCGGCTTCGATCGCCTGCAGTGCCGTGGATACGTTCTCCAGGTGGTGGTGTTGGTTCGCTGGACGCGGGTTCCATCGCGGTAGGCGGCGTTGCGTGAGGACTTCAACCAGGGCGCAAAGGCGCGTGCCGTCCCGGAAATCCTCGGCAAGATCCAGCACAGGACCACCGCCCGCATCGTCGGCGTGTTTCAGATGCTCGTTCACCCAGTTCCGAAAGGTGTTGGCCTGGATTTCCACCCAGAGATCCTCGTGGCCCTTGATCGGCATGCCCTTGGCAGCCGTGCCCTCGGCCGAGCGGGCCACCAAGCCCACGAGTTGCTCCGGTCGCAGCTGCTCGGTCGACTGCATTCTCGCGTTCCTAAAAAAATCATGCGATTAATCGCGGACTCGTTAATTAATCCTGCATACAATCGATCGAGTAGGATTCTTATTGATAATTTCACGCTTTGCTTCGCCTTCGTCTTTAATTAAAGATTTAATCAGGTCGCCTGAAGATTAAAAAAAAAAAGCTCTTAAAGAGATATTTATACGTGTATTCAAAGATTTATCAAAGTCGTACTGAATTAAATTTAAAAACTTAAAAAATAAAATAAAATTGTTACATGTTACAGCTGCAAGTGTTTACGAATAAGTATATCTCTCGTGCGTTTATTGATACGACTGCTAATTTACTGATTTAATTAAGCATATTGCAGAGAAGAATGTATTATAGAACAGTAAATAAGCGATAAATTGTGAAATAGTTAATTGTACGCGCTAGATGCTCAAGCGTTTCAGTAAACCACCTGTGAATGCGACCTTTAAGGTCGTCTCGCTACGAGAAACTCAATTTACTGCGCTGAAAAATAGGCGGCGGTGATGTATTGTGCATTCACGATCAAACGAGGAAGATTAACGCGAGAATTTCGCGGTGAAAGTACCGGTACACACACACACCTGCGACACCGTTCGTCGCGAATATAACTATCCGATATCGCTTGCATAATCTATTTCCGCGTCTATCCTCACGCGACACAAATTCGCTGCATTTCTCATTCGCCACTTCTACGCTAATTTTCAGCGGCGATCCGTTCAAATCCCAGTCAAGGGGAGAACCGGCGTAAGAAAGCGTTGAAACGGAATTCGCCAATTACAACGAAACGGCACATGAAATGCGTTGCTACCGCATGAAATAATGAGAAACAATTATTACGAATGTTTTAGTTTTGGAGCCGCGACGATCTACTTTTGTCGGTAGTAAAAATTTGCGAAGCAAGATATTATTATAATTCGCTAATTGCGACGAGACGACATGCGGGTTTCTTCGATGCTATCGTATCGAATAGCTAAACAACTTTACATCAAATTTAGATTATTTTTTAGCCGCTGTAAAAATTACAATGCATTGAGATATTATCGAAGAACAAAGTTCTCATGTCTAATAATTCGTATTTCTGGTATTGATTAATAAGTAAAACGATACGTCTTAATGTTTCGTTGTATTGAAGTATCCTAAGAGTTTTACTATTTTAGAAATTATGTATATTGACTGTGTAAATTGCATCGAGACAACTCTCTGATCACAAACTATGCTTTTCAATTTTTGCACAGCTATGCATGAACGATGAGTTATATTTCAGCGTGATACATCGCAGCGATGACATCATTGTTGTCTCAAAAGCTCGTCTGACCGGTAACGCTTGCGTAAGTGGGTAAAAATTTACGGTGAACCACGAAGAATCTCCAACGATTAATAAATATTGTAACTCTTGAAGAACGCCAAAAAAGCATTCAATACATATCAAATCCAAGTGTCTAACCGTTTCATGTTTTTACATAAATTATAAAACTCTATGAAATAGAGGATTATTCGATTTAAAGCTGCGCGGCTTAATGATTTTAATAAAATAAAGCATAATTGACATGTGATAAAAAATACTCTGAGAAAATTTGACGCAAAAGAAGCGTAGCTATAATATATCTTTTCAGATATATAAATAAAACATCGCGCAGACCGATGCAGAGTAAGAAAAATCTCTCGACGCTTATTAGAACGTGTCAGGCAAACTTAAATAAAAATCGCTCTCGCGCACCCATACATAAACGACACTCGCGAATCGAATTCACTAACAAACGATAATACCGCGTGCGCGACTTTCACCGCGTTCTCAAATTTTGTTCACCGTGAACACACGCACTCACGAATCACGCACGATCTTGGCTCGTGTCATTTGTGTCAATCAACGAGAACGTTACTAGAAAATTTGCGACCACTTCTTAACACCTTCATTACTCCATTCATTAGCTTAATTAAAAAAAATTGAGATTAAAAGAACGGCGCACTGTGCAACAATAAAACTCCATTTATCAGAATGTTATTTAAACGAAGAATGATATTTCCGAAATCTTGCTTCATACATTTTTTGTCTCCTTTTTATCCAATATCTTTCTGATAGACTAAAATATTCGAACAGATATCCCTGGTTGATAGACAAATCGTTAAAAGTTCCTCCTTCCAAAAATCCAAAATTACGTCTTCAAACTATAATTATTTCTGTATACATCGTGATTCCTGGTGTTTCTAATACAATAAATTCCTTATTTTATAGATTTTCACAAATGTATGAAATTTCGCATAACTAGAAAAAGATTCGAGTGAAAAATGAATTCTCAATGCTATACATTTTTTAATTTACACATCTTTAATACCACGGGTATTTGAAATTCTTGACTCCACGAATTATTGTTTGCGTGGAATCATAAATCATAGATCGTTCAAAGTCTCGGTAATCGTAGATTTTAGAATTTTAGATTGTACAGAGTCGTAAATCTTCAAATCATTATTTTGTTCGTTGTTGTCTCGTTTGTCTTGTGCTCGACAGGTCTTTGCAATTCTTAAACGTGCAGCTCAATAACATTAATCTTTATCTAAAAGTTCTACAATTATTCCAATAAACATCCCCGTAGTTTTATCATTGAAGCAACTTTTGCATGCATTCTAATAAATTGGAGTGCCTCCGCCCGCCCACCGTTCATCAGCCTAGGCGTAATTCATGAGAACGACGTAGAACTCCAGGACGTCACGCATATCTGGAGGATACTCGTCGTCGCTCATTTCAACGGAAATACATGCACACAACACAACGGCGCGTATCATGCATCCACCCACTCACGTAATCGCGCGGCACGCAGGACATAGGAACGCACGGCATGCGAACTTGTATATTTACGTTGGACTTGGCGCGCCCTCCTGCTCTATCAGGCTGATCGCTCAAGCTCCACCGAGCGGATTGTGACGGTATTGTCGAATGTCGGCGACGACAACGACGACGACGAGTTATGCTATGCGAAGAACGCCATTTTTGGATGTGCCGTCGCGGCGCCGAGTTGCGTTGACGAGTCTTCGATGTGCGTGAGCTCACTGAACCGACGTGGAGACCCCTTCCTTGCGCGTTCTCCGCCAGTTCTCCATGGTTCCCCACAATCGCCGTTGTAGGATCGTGGGGTACGGGACGATTATAATAGCAGCAGGGCCGTAGACGACAAACCATATGGCGCCTCATGGCAATCCGATCACTTGTTTACAAGAAATACAAATTTTTTTCTTGAAATAATTGTTGGATGCGTCACGAGAACAAATATTGTGTGTACAAAGTGAAAATTTTCATATTATATCTGTACCTGTCGCGTAGATGGATTTGATATATACATGCATACATCTTTTTCTACTGCGCTTATTCCGATTCACAGTTAGCATTCGACAAATAATGCTAGATACTTGGTTGAATTCTAGGCAAAAGTGCGGAAATCATACCGCAAGGTGGTGGCACCTGCCAGAACCATAATCATCGTTTGCTGCATACAAACAGGAGCATTTACCCGCATCGAACCTGGCGAGCGATGTATTAATGAATGTCGGTGTTTACACATTTCACGCCTTATCTGGCGCGTTTGTGACGTCAGTACGGCTCTAATCGAAGAAGAGAGACTCCTTAATATGATTATAATGGCGCAGCGTAATACTCATTTATCTACAACACAGAAAACTAATGTTAATATTATACAACGTGATTATTATTTACAATATTATTACGGCTAACGCAATAAAATTTTGCAGTGAACTGTATGACGCAGCGACAAAGATTTCAATTTCAATTATGCGAATTAAACTCTCCAATTAAGCTCTCTCGATCGGTCGTTGATGTCTCCGCGCGAGCGGCCGCGCCGATCCAAAAGCTCAGCCCACTCTCGACACATTTCGAAACGCTCTAATTTATTCGCCTTTGTCGCAGCGCAACAGTAGGATAAAATGCTCGACATTACCTGTTGCAAAATAAATTAGTCAATTTACAACATATGATATAATATTATATTTCAACATTGTGACTATCCAAAAGCAATAATATAATATTATATCTGATAGGAAGGTTGTGTGTGTGCCGCAAAAATATTATTAATATTGTAATTATTATAAGCCATATTACAATGCCATATTATATTTTATGACTATGTTAAAACATCTATATACAAATGTGTAACGCGTATAAATAGTTATGAGTAAACATCGAATAAATCCGGCACAAGGCTGCTAATGGCGAGCTGCCAATATAGTTGCAACTGTTAGCTCAGTATCAAATTACCAGCTTTTCTCACCAAGTCAAGAAAGATGCATCTTTGTTGAAGATTGATTGATGCTCAAGGAAGATAGCGATTATTTAAATTTCTACATTGTAATGAAAGCATTTATCACTGTAGTGTTTTTGATATAGCGAATATTGTATTCCTCTATTCTGTTCGCTAAAGCGCGCAATGTTTATAAAACTTCTACAACCTACTATCGGTGCAGAAGTACTCTTCTGTACCGATATTTAATCAGTCTTAGAAAAAGACTGTTGAAGGGGCCTGAAGGGGCCCGCTCTTTCAGAATGCGAGAGTTGATTGATTCTAATTTTAAAATAAATAAGGTTAAGGGACTGACGCGTATAAACGACTTCTATTACAGATTAAACGTTTTAATAATGTTCTGTAGAATCTTGTAAACAGCTTTGGATTTTAATAATAAACGCCGAGAGGATCGCTCTATCGCTTAAATTCGCAATTTGTTTCGCAAAATTAAACTCGAATAAGAGCGCACTCTCAAATTAACTGCTATTAAGATTAGATTAATTATACAACAAATTGTTATATTAAAAAAGTTTCAATTTGTCCTAAAAGAGAAATTGCAAGCTTCACATTCGTTATACATTCGTTAAACTATAAAATAAAGCTTTAGTGATACATACTTGTATGCTTTTTTCGGAGCTTTAATCGCAAAAGTGTGATTGCCCATTTTTTTGCCCAACGATTCGACCACGGTGACTCGGTCAGTTTTTGACTTACGCTACACCATATCGCGTCTATACATATAGAGTTTGGCAGGGCGCCGGCGCCGCTTTCTATAAATAACGAGTGCGACGCCAACCGACGCTCACGGTGAGCAGAGTGCCGACAAAAATGACGGGAGCTTGCGAGGGGGCGTGCGGCGCGACGGCAGTAGTTACGAACGACGAACGGTGCGGCGGCAGTAGTAACGGGCGGCCACTCGTGCTGCCGTCTCGATTTCGTTTTGCTGCGGCCGCGACAGCGATCAATCGAGCCGGTGAAGGGTAATGCGAGAAGCGTTTCGCACTCTTTTGAATTTCTCAAAGGAATCTGCGGACAGCCCGACGATTGCAAACGAGCAGAGTAACGCGGACAGTCAATGACGAGACAGCCGGAAAGCATTCGAGGATCACGCGGGCACCAGCTCCCACGATTCGAGCGTCGAAGAGATCGCGAGCTCCGTGAAGTTCGTGAATCGCGAAAGGAAAATCCAGAATCGTCGAGAATTTATTCGAGACGGTGTCGCGAAAGAACGAAGATTGTTTCGAGAATTCGGCAGGAAGCAATCTCGGCTATTAATCTCGTTACTTGGAAATCTCTCTTACTTGGAGATATTGAGATTCGAGGGGTAGTTTAGACAGCCAGGCGATAAGGAGCGCAAATATTTGCTGTGTCCCGACTATGCGCCGGCGTCTCGTGGATACTAGGACGCCGAGATCGTCGTCGTCGTCGTCGTCGTCGGTGATCGAGCGCGGCGTCCTCGCGGCAACGGGGCGCGAGACGTGACTCCGTTTATACGCATCAGCTGATCCGGCGAGGCCGCGACGGATAAAGGAGGTGATTATGTAAACGAATCGCTGCTGGAGATCCGTGAGGCTGTGTCACCGCTCGCTCGCTTGTTCGCCGACATGGTCCCGTTGACCAAGCCGGTGAATTCCCTCCCGAGTGAAAGAGGGACTAATTATATTCGCCTCGTGTGAACAGAGGTTACTAACCAGCCAACCCTCCTGTACATGCGCCTGCGTGCACAGTCAGCGTTTTCCAAGAGGGATTACGAACAATGACACTTGATTAGCGTAATAGGATTGCAAAAAGCTCGATTGCAATAATCAAGAAAATAATCGACCTTTACGGTGGAGAAATTGAATTTATAACTAAAATCTAATATCTTTTATTATTAAATACGTTAGCAGTAATTATTCTTAAATCTTCCTACTTTTAAAAATTTTGACAAAACTTTTTACATGTGATTTATCAAATATAAAATTGAGGCGTTGAAATCAATATTGAAAATATAAACGCATTAGAGATTTTAAAATTTGCAAATTAAAATCTAAAAATTTAAGATAATAGACTTTAGCTAAAAGGTAAACATTTAAAATTTTAAACATTTCAACGTGAAATCGGAGAATAATTGCTAAATTTGTAAGCAGCCTTTGAAGAAGAAAGATTCAAGAATAATATCTATTAATTAGTACATCTTATGAGATTAGATTCGATTTTATTTCAATTTTCCCATCATAAAGATCAATTTCTACACGTGTAAGTCACGTGAAATTTAAAAGAGGGACATAAAAATAATCAATAAAGAAATCTCGATTGTATCGTATATGCAAATGCGTCGGATGATTATGGGACGAGAGATTTATGAGTAAGGAGGAAACGATTAGCTACCCTGGCCGGCTTTATTTTACGATCGCGCTACTTTGGCGCGTCCATCACACATAACTTTGACATATCACGCTAACTATAAATTTAAATCGATTAACGCATTTTCAAAGCATGGTTGTGCTCAGGCTGATTGCATTAAAAATTGCATAGCATCGTACTAACTTGAACATTCGCGTGATATGTTGTAACAGTTCGCAACTTATACATCCGCTCATTACTTTTCTGCACTTGCTTGTTTCGCAGATCCACAATGGCTCTAGTAATGTTACCATGTGATTTGCCTTGGTGGCCGGCTGTTGTAAAGCAATTAGACAAAGCTGCCTTGGCCAAGAATTCCGAGGACCTAATAGACGCGATGCAACGATTACATGACATGTGCAAGTACGAATAACATTTTTCTTGTTATTCTTATTCATTGTTCTCTAAGCTATGTATTTGTTTTTCCAAGATTTAGATTCTCATATAAATTCAAGTAAATAAAGAATAAAAAATAAATCAGAATTATTATCTAATCTAATATGACTATTACTATTCATAACATAATTCTAATACTATTCTTTCAATAATAATTGTAAAAAACAATGAATAAAGATGTAATTCTAGATTTTCATGAATATTCCCACGGTTGTTGTGGCTTTTTAAAAATAGCATTTGTTATTTAGTATAAGCCTCGATCCCGAGGAAGACGTGCAAGACTCCAACCTGTTCTCCAAGTTGGCGACTTTCCTAGATAAAGACCTTGATCTAGCAGAAAGAGAGCAGGTGTTCACGAAGACAATACCGCAGATGGTGGAAAGGGCGAAGGCCTTAAAGTTTACTAAACCTCCACAAGGTCTACACTTTAGTCTCCAACAGCAAGGTATCGTTATCATAAGATTCGATATTTCTCACGATAATCTCGCGAAAATTAGAAAATACTAGACGAACTAAAAAAATAAAGGGGGCTTTTTCCATTCCTAAAATCAATTGAAAATGTTTCTTTACTTGTTGATTTTCCCTCGTAATATATATATATTTTTTATTTTTTAACATGCTTTCGAAATTATTTTAAACATTCTCATTAAATGTTTAGATCATATAAATAAATAAATATAAAATATTAAAATAGAGATGATGCGATACGAATTAATTTATTCTACATAGGTGATAGCGTCGAATACACTTACGCTTTCGTCTCCTCCTTAATTGCAAACGCGTTCTTCTCAACGTACCCAAAAAGAACCGCGAAGACTCACCCCACGTTGCGCGATTTCAACTTTACAAACTTCTTCAGGCATCTTCACAAGTGAGTGACTACAGAGCAGATTAAATCCTTAAAGAAACTTATCGACTACTTTAAATTAAAAAAAAAAAATTACAAATTTATACTTTATTATATATTTCAATTTTCCGTTTTTCAGAAACGCACAGAAAGCCAAACTCAAAAGCATTTTTCATTATTATAATTATCTCGAGATGGAACAAGCACTCGACGGTCGTCTGATCATTTCTAGACAGGTACGCGACAAATTTCTTTTAATTCATGTAGCAGCCATTATTTCAAATGTTAAAGATTTTCTTTTTTTTTTATTAAGAAGATAATTTGCAGTATACAAAATGCTTTTTCTGAATTCGCAGGTAATGACGTCTAAACAATGGTTGACCATCGAAGATTGGCTGGAAAGTAACACACCTCTGTGTCCGTTGACGATACGTCACGAGGGTCGGCTGGAGAGAATCGAGACAGAATGCAAAGTACTGCAAGTTTGCTTCGCGAACGCTAAAATCGGTGGCGGAGTGCTCGATGACGATGTCACGCAGGAGACTGTACATGTAATTAAGACAAGCTATTATAAAAATTCGTATGCTTGACGTTAATTAGCGTGGCAATAAGTTGTACATTTAATAGGCTTAATTTTCAAAATTAACAATTTTTATTCCAACAAATATTCATCTTATTTTTATGTTTGAGGCAAAAAAACATTCTATATGCATAATTTAAATCATATTATACATTCTCAAATTCTTTTGTTTTGTATTTTGCCAATGAGATACTTAAGGCTACACAAAATTGTGATTTTTTATTTGTCCAGGTATTTGTTTTGTTTTTTTTCTAGGTGGCGACGCATCCGGAGATGCTCGCCGCGATACTATCCGTCGAGGCCTTAGAAGACAACGAAGTACTAATAATCGAGGGTGTGAGACACATGTCGAGAATAAACGATCCGCGGCACAAGGCGATCTTTGAGGGTATCTCGAAGCCGAACGTGGTGAGTGAAGAGAGTCTTGTTTCGCGCGTATTCACGACGGTAAGGTAAACAATCGTATAGTTTCTCGAGCGCAGGTAACGGTGTGCTGCATAGACCCCGAGGACTATTCGCGGTTGCCGCTTACGCAGTTCGAGGAAGACAACATCCTGCGGGAGATGAACAAATCGCTGCTGGGCTTTCGCCAGAGGCACGTGCCCGGTAGCCCGACCGATCCAATTAAGACGGATTCAGAGACGGAAATTGGTTTGGGTTCGCGCAGATTGTCGCCGATCGGCGAGAGTTTTAGCAGCACCCCGCCGGAAACGGAAGGCGAGGACAAAGTTTTCGCGGCGAGCAGTAATTCCAAGATAGGTGGGAGAACGCGAAAGACGATACACAATTTCTACAAGTTATTTAAATCACTCTTCTGGCGTCTTTGTAATACGTATCTTTTCTTCTTCGCAGATAAGCAGCCTCCGCACGATGAGTGCTGCAAATTAGAGAGCGCGGCGGAAATGCGCACCAGGCCTAATGGTAAATCAATGAGGCCACCAAGCCCTCACAAAGTATGCAAGGATGCGAGCTGTACGAATCGCAGGAATCGATTCATCGTGCTCGGGTCGAGCGGTGAGGTTCTGCCAGTGACACGGAAGTCGCTCGGCCAGATGTCAGTCTACAGCAGTTGCAACAGTCAAAGTACAGACAGTTTTCACAGCGCCAAAGAAACGATCGATGAAGAACCTGGTATGCGTACGTTTACACTCGAAATAAATCTGGAATGATTTAATGATGAATTATTTTTCTATGAACGGTTTTCAGAGGAAGAGGAAAAGCTCACGAAACTCTATAGCGCACAATTAGATACACCTGAGCGAAGAGGAACTTTTGCGCAGCGGCTGAAAGACGCTTTGAAGCGGGAGAGCACGGCGACCGGGGCGACTTCGTCGAACACCTCTTCCGGTGAGAGCAGTTACGCCGTTGGTATAAGTGTCAGCGGTAGCCATGTCGGTGATCAAGATATCAAGTGAGTCAAAATTTATGAACAGGTAAACAGGCGTAATATGTAATAACAAAAGATAACGAACGAGACGGTTTAATTATTAATATTGTGAAATAAAAAATATTGGTGTATTAATTTTCATTCAGACGTCATTTTATTAATTTATTTTTGTACAATACAAATGCAATATTACAGGGTGAGAAGAGGCGGCTCGAGGGGTTTTGTCTTGCGAGACGAGACAGTGGATGAGGAGTTCCTGAAGGAATCTCTGGAGGCCGAGCAAAAGTGGCTGGGCCGATTCCGGCAGAGTCAAGGACCCATGTTTCAACGGAAGGACACAAGTGCGAGTAGCAAGTATAGTTTTAGCACAGAGTACAATTCTGGCGAGTATTCGAATAAGATCTATTGCGAACGAATGACGTTTTGTTCTCGGCAAGATGAAGTTAAAGAGTCCGAACTTTTACACATGCAGATTTCTGTTCCGAGCTGGAGGAGGTTTACGAGCAATTGTCAAAGTGGTTGGAGGATCCGATAGTGACGGACGAGAGTCGGGAACTAGACGCGAGAGACCGGGCCGTCGTACGATTCGCCGGTTCGCTCCTGAAGCGCGCGTTGAGCGAGTCATTTGCCGGCGTGCCGGTTCAGGAGGGCGAGCCGCAGCCGTTCATCGACACGAACGACGTGAATCAACAACACAAACTGGCTCTAGCTGTCAGGAGTCTCAGCTTGGAGCTCGCCCGACAGAAAAACCGAAGACAGCAATCGGTAAGCAGTGATAAGTTCTTACAGACTTACTGTCAACAAACAACTGAATTAGAAAGATTTTTATTCATTCTTTTAAACTAGATAAAACTTATCACATTTTGCAGAAATGAGTTGAAATGTTTTCGCCATTTCTTAACGTCTGAAAAAAACAAGCACTTGAGTCGAGAAACTTACCATTCCACTGTTATTTTAATTTTCAAATAGACATCGAATCACAAATTAAAAATCGGAGTTTTTTTATCTAACTGCTTTCTTTTGGAGCCAAAAAATTAATAAACTTAATATATTTTTAATTGTTTTTTACGAAATAAAAGTACAAACGCTTGTAATATAAAAAACCTTGTAGCGAGCATTAAGATGGAGTGAGAGACAGTCCGAATCGGTTTGTTTGAATAAACCTAACACAGAATAAAAATCCGGTTGAACGAAAGTTTCAAGTTTGGGCTACAGGCAGCCGAAATACTATACAGGTGTCTGAGTTGGAAGATGTAGATCTTTACGAGGATGCCTCAAGCGAGATGGTAAGAGAAACTAAGGATGTCCAACATAGGAAACTTTGGGCTGTCACATTCACGTCGGAAGTGTTTCAAACATTGGTCGATGATCAAACGATCGTGCGCCTGTCTACGCCGCCTGTGCTCGAGTCAAGCCGAACGGCAAACGAGTGTAAATCGCGCGAAGTGAACACGCTCGGTGTTCTGGAGGTGATTCTGATGACTTGATCGCATTACGTGTATAATCGCAATGCATGAGGCAGCAACTGTGTTGAATCATCTGTATTTAAAATTGCTTGGGGAAAGAGCGCATTCTGTAACTCGAGACTCTTCAAAACGCAACGTAATACGTCATCGTGATAAATCTGTTCGAGATTTCGTATTCCTTCTCTCGACTTGATGCATGACGGACGACCTGATTGTGAGATCAGCTTCTCATCTGACATATGTAACTAATAATATATTTATCTGTCTCTCAATTTATCCAATTTATAGTTCTTCACTCGTGTCTCTCGCTTCATTCTATTGAATATTAACCAAGCCAAAATATTTATCTCTCTTATTATTGTGTGTAATAAAAGACAATGCAATTCTTTGTGTCAACTAAACGACAATAACCCTTTTAGCTTTGTATATTACGTTACACCTATCTTTAGCGACGTCACACTCTCAACGAGTTTCATGGCGAATTTGATTGGACGCGCACTGGTGAAGATTAAAGCGTTTGTTGTACATTTCAATCTATCTAATTATAAAAACACTCTCTTTCAAATATACTGTGTGAAAAACAATCCCAGTAAAATATTTCATTCGTTCATGTTATTACGCGTATATACTTTTACATGAATTTGTATACTTTAATGCGCGTCCAACCAAATTCGCTACAAGATCTTTACTAATTACACGATTACTAATTATGATATCATATGTTTATGACAGAGAGGACCGACACAGCGGTAAAATAATTTATAATAGACTGTGTTATTGTGTGCATAGTTGCCTCGCGAGAACAGTCCTCAGGGGGGAGGTTTACTGCCGGTAGCCACCGGTAACTGGGGATGCGGAACTAGATTCAAGGGTAATCCGCAATTGAAACTCGTTATTCAATGGCTTGCTTCTTCCCTCGCGGGCGCGCCAAGACTAATCTATTACACTTCCGGCAATCCTAGTCTGTCTAAGGTAAAAAAAAGAAAAAAATTAGCGCCATTTTTCATCGCGCAAATTCTTTACTCCTTTAAATTCGGAATTTCAGTTAGACACGGTGACCAGAGTTCTGATGGACAGACGTTGGTCGGTGGGCGATCTGGCCGCCGCGACGCTAAGGTACGCCGTGCAGACGATTGAAGAGCGGGTAGAAGGCAAGAACACCCTCTTCGAGGAGATTATTGGTATGGACAAACCGAGTCCTTAGCCCGACACGATGCTGTCCGTTTTGGTGGACGTGCTAGCCACCATGATCGAGGACAGCCTATTGAAAACTTAATATATCAGTATATACTCCCTTCGCGGAAAAACGCAGAAACAAAAGAAGAAAAAGCAAACGGGTATTTAATTGTAGTTAAACACAAAATCGAGAATTAATTCTAATCTATGCAAGTTGTTTTAGAAATGTATTATACGAGTTTCATCGATTTATTTTCTGTTCGAAAGTCGTCTTGTCTAGCATATCAAAATAATATCAGGCAAACTCGCACAATTCGTAGTACAAGGCAATATATCAAAGTGATTAAAAGAAAAAGAATGTAGTAGCTGCGATATTTTTTAGCTTGTAATGCAGTTGTATCACGCTGTCGAATCAGGTTGTATTAGAAGCGTCACTCGTTACATTTCTAAGAAACATTGTGAAAGAAAACAATAGCATCGTATATCGGAAGTTCACTTGTCGTTCATGTCACGCTATCATAAGTCAGCGTGAATTCTTTGCATTTTCACGCGATAACGGTCTAGTCATGTATGAGAAGTCAATTCTGGTTTTATTTCGTATGAAACGAGTAACTGAAACACAGTTACATGCAATAACTAATGAGGCACAATATACTAAACTATATTTTGTACTAAATAATATTTATAAGTCGTTCTATATATATATTTAATTTTAAGTCGAGAACATACATACATACACACACATACCACATACACATTCTTACACACATACATACGTACATGTAATATGCAAATAGATTTTTAGAGGAAAACTTTTAGTATTTTATAATAAAATATTGTGTAATAGAACATTTTTTTATAAAGATAAAACATATATATGTAAGTCGCTTCTATAAAATCGTAACTTTGGAAATAGATTAATGTGGCCTACAAAGGATAAAAAATACGTTTGGTAGCATGTAAATCAATTAAAATGAGGTCTTCCATTATTAAAAAGAAACATGTGAAAGTATCTGTCCTATGACTTATATGCTTCTCATTATAAGCAATGATAAGAGTGTTTCAAAACTATATACATGCAAAATATACACGTAAAGCATATATTAATATATTTATATCAGGACAAAGTGAAATTTTATGTCTATACGAGATTTTCTATCTGATTATATTTTAACATACGTAATGCGTTACCTATTGCAACATGAATTTTCTTTTCTTTCCTTTTTTATAGAATAATTTAAATAACCAAGATGTTAAATCAATGTAAATATAAAATAAAACGTCTCTTGCATCACAGTTTTTATTAATATCACACGTTATTATTGTTTGAAATATCTTGAACATACCATTATTCAATTATTCAATTATTCAATTATTCAATAAAATCAATAAAAGCATTTAATAAATATTATTTTTAAACAGTACTACTAAAATAACGCAAGTATCGAATGGTTATTATTCTCTGTCAACTGCTATTACAATTTTACTTAAACCAAAATTGTTGCATAACTTTTACTTTTATTTATATTCGATACAATATACATCTAAAGTAGTATTCAAACTATTCCTTGATTAAGTTGGATGGTTAAGCTTTAATCCTGAGTTCAGTACTTACCTAAGAAGTAAAAAAAGACATGTATAAAAACAACAGATTCTATTTACATATCAGAAGAAGAGACTTCGTAGACGTCGACCTACGCCTTGTCTATCGTACAGAATATTGAATTTGTTTACAAATTGATTTATATTATTACACCCTTTAGTTATAATACCCAGATATGTCATCAATCCGAAATCGTTACATTGCTGAAAACACAGAAAAATATTATTCGAAAAAATATCGTTATTGAATAATTCCGAGGATTGTGTGTTTGGAAAAGCATACTAACATTATAAAAGTCGGCCTTAAATTTCGGATTATTTAAGACAGGCAATCGATGACTCAAAGAACAGGCTGCTCGAAGAACTTCATGATTTCCCTTTAATTCCCCACTCTGCACCGCTTGCACATATCTCAGAACAAGTTTCACTCTTGCGTGCAACATTTTAATGGCGCTATGCTGTGCCGTTAAATGTTCAGCCACTGAAATAAAATATTTCAATCGTATATCGTTGATGCTAATAATTTATTTAAGTATGAATAATAGCGCTATCATTGCATTACCCACCTACTGAACATTCGCCTTGATCGTTGTTACACATCCTTTGCACATGATCGACTCCAATCCTCTCAGCTTCCTCTGTGGCTAATGTATAAGTTAACGGAACAAACAGCATGGTGGCGTCACCGTTAACTAAATCGATCACTGATTCATACATGGAGACGGATAAGTGCTGCAATAATCATCAAAATCATTGTCAAATATATTTCACTTTTCATAAAGCAAATGCCCTTCTTCCAGTGTCATGCATTTTAGTGAACTTGCCTCTGTATTTTTTGGTCTAGGATCAAGTTTTAATAACACTGGGCTTTCATTTATCTCGCAAAGTTGCTTGTGTACTCTGATGTCTCTTTCATTAGGCATATCTCCAGTGGTATACCAGCCCAAAAAGTCCATTTCGCTAAACACTACCTTAAATTGCTCTTCCTTCGTGTTGTAATAGACTCTGTCAATTACGACATCGTCGCCAATACATGTAAACAGCAATTCAAAAGAATTCATAATCTCTATGTTGCGACCCTTCTGTTTACCAATCAGAGCACCGTATACTAAAATAATATACACAATATAGTCCTACGAAGTATTGTTAATAAAATTTTTTTAAACGCATCGCTACAATTGCTCTATAAAAATTATAAACATTTAGTTAATACGTATCAAATTCAATACAAAACTTTATAGAACTTTATACATATCAGTTAATTGCTTAATTTAAATACAAACTTTTACACTTGTATTAAATATTTTGTTAATTTTTAAGTGAGAAAAAAATCTTACCTAACTGATCACTACCCTCTTGAGCCCTAAGTCTGGTCCAGTGCTCACTGACATTCATGATTACCAATGGATGCAGGCTGATGGACACCGAGCCAACGGTGCCCGAGGATGCCATGACCTTGATGGCACTTCCAGGCATCTGCGCTTTCCTTTCGGAAGTATCTTCGTCGACTTCCATCGGCGTTTGCTCATTTGTATCGCCTGTAGGCACGTCGATCTCCATATCGCTTTTCAGTGGTTGCTTTTATTCTCACTTATGCTCTCTACAAGCTTCGTAGTCTCTTTCGGAATAAGTAAATTCGGACAGTATCGGTGATGCCTGTACCTAGACGACCAGACTACTCTAAACCGAAATATCTGTCGTATTTCCGTCAATCAGGTTGATCAATGAGAAGCAATGTGGACGGCCATTGCGTCAATTCCTACTTGTTCCTACTCCTACTATTTTCAACTGTGCCGATGGAAGGAGAAGTGTCTCGAAACGCGAGAGAAGAGAGATTGATACCTCGAAACTCGAAACTCGAGACGGTAATAAAGGTATATCCAAACAAACTTGCATATGCTTATACGCTATGCAAGTTTGCTGGATGTATCCTAAGTACAGGGTTGGCAGCACACACACTCACACAATATCCTTTTAATTTCACACGTGAGGACGTATATGGCGTGTAGTGTGTGTTGTCACGCGTTTTCTTGCCAAGTTATCTGAAATCATCCGTAAGAAAATTTACAAAGCTTTATCAACGTATTATAATTAAAAGGTAATTGAATATTTTATCTTGTAAAAATATTCTAATGTGCATATAAAGGCAAGCTTTTAATTCACATTTAGTTAGGACAGTGTGTAAAATTTGTCGCTTTTGATCATAGGAATAGGAGTGACTGCTGGAATATATTAGAGATTAACTCATTATCAGCGGATCATCGAGTAAAAAGATAGATCACAGTCATTTTTGTTATCGTATGATCGGTTGTACGTATGCTCCTGTACGTACTGACACAAGTCAATCCTCCGGTGTATATTTGTGTACGTGTGTTGCTTGAGGTTAGAAATTCGGATTTGACCACAGTATTCTTTTTCTCGACATATGAGAGAAACTTAATTTTCTTAATTTCCTTTGATGTAAATAACTCGAAAGTTATTGACAAACTGCGTTTCTAGGTTAGATGGGCGATCACATTGGGAAAGAGTGCGATTGATTACGGGATCTATAAGCACGAATCGTCAACACGAGGACACTGTTAACGAGAGACGCATGTAAAAGCTCAAAAATTGTCGATTGCCTTCGTTTGACATGCCTCAGACTCCATTGACTGTCACAGCATGAATCTTCGAGCTCCATGGTGCGAAGCATATCGGCTGTACTTTTATCGTAAAGCGTCTTTCAGCAAAGCAAATTTTTCGATGCATTTGTAGGTAAAATTTGTTGTATAAATTATGCGGAATTAAAGGTATCTGTTAATATATACATTCTGGGAAGTAGTTTTCAAACTAATCGAATTCAAACTATTTTAAATACTAGAGAAAATCGTCGAAATGTCCCAACTGAAGCATCTAATCAAAGAATTTCCCAGAAATATGAAATTTTGCTTTGCTTATGGATCAGGTGCATTCAAACAAGTCAATAACGATGGTAATAATATGCTGGATCTTATATTTGTCGTACGTAATGCCAACAAATGGCATGCGGAAAACTTAGCGAATAATCCTAAGCATTACGCTCAACCAATGAGATTTCTCGGCCCTAAAGTAATCACGAGTTTACAAGAAGAATCAGGCGCCAACATCTATTACAACACATTGGTCAAAACTAGTCAAAACCAGTTTATTAAGTATGGCGTAATTTCTGAGATTTCATTGGTGGAAGATTTGCTAGACTGGAACAATTTGTACTTGGCAGGGAGATTGCACAAGCCGGTTAAAGTATTAGTAGAACCTGACGAAAATTCCCAATTACGTACTGCTCTGGTGCAGAATTTACATTCGGCTGTACATGCAGCTTTGTTGTTACTACCCGAACATTTTACGGAGATCGACTTTTTTAAGAAAATCACCGGTCTGTCCTATCACGGTGATTTTCGAATGATCTTTGGTGAGAATAAAGACAAGGTCAGCAATATCGTGCTACCGCAGTTGCAAAATTTTAAGCAGTTGTACGAGCCAATCTTGAAACATTTTGACAATTATGTAGATATTCCTAGATCAGATCATATGGTTGTCACGTGCCGTCAGGACACCAGCCCGGCAACAAGAATTCATCATTTAAATCATTTACCGAGAACACCACAGGTTAAGTTAGTTAGGGCATGGTCTCAGGGTCCAAGATCGAAAGACACGGAAGATTGTTTACGTGCTATCGCGCACGATCCGGAATGCTGCGAGATATTGGAGCAGTGCTTGAAAGAGATCGTTTTGAGATCCAGCGTGACGCAAAGTCTAAAGGGACTCATAACCGCAGGACTCGTAAAGTCTGTTAAATATAGCAGCGCTAAAATAATTAAGATGTTACAATCAAATCCTCCTCAACGTTTGCTGCTCAAATCGGACTCGAAAAGAATTGATAAAATTGTTGAAACTGTTGTAAAGAAAACAGAGACCAAGAATACCGAGAAACGTATCGAGTAGTTGGTTATTTTCTTAGAAAAAGCTAATTTAATTGTGAGATATACATATGTATATATATATACATTTGTAAACTCTTATATGCTTGTATCACAAATAAAGTAAATAGTTGCAATCAACAGTCTAACGTATTTTTCGCATCATTCGAATTAGCAGTATTATTCGATGCCTTTATTTGCAATGTAAGCTCCGCAATAAAGCTACTTTTTAATTTCTTAAAAAGTTATGTTCCAATAATACAGATTGAAGTGTTATTTGCTAAAATATATTGTCTAATATCGTACAAATCGCGAAAAGAGATGTTGTTACGTATAATCATTGATGTGTGCATCGTTAAAAATTCAACTTACAATAGCTTCATTGTATTTACAGAGTAACTAGATTATGACAACGATGGATTCCGATTCCGCGAGCCAGGATAGCGATGATGGACGTCGGTTTCGTTTTGAGGCAACGCGCAAAGACTCGGCCGCGCTCGTGGAGGACGCGATGAGAAGAACAAGATTGCCGAAGAAACAGTCGAAGCACAAATCATCCCGCTATGAGAGCGGTAGGCATTATCACAGAGAGAGGAAAGAACGGTCAAAACACGAAAGCGATAGAAAGGGGGACGATCTCAAACACTCCGCAAAGCATTCGAAGCACGAGTCGAGAAACTCAAGGCAGGAGGATGGTGGTTCATCCAAGGATCATAGAGACGGCAGGGACGCGTTCATTGGATTCACCGTGAATGACAGAGATTTTAGGAACTCCAGCGGGGGCGGCGACGAGAAGGAAAAATCGCGGGACTCGAAACGACAATCGGATAGAGATCGAAGCATTCATCTGGCACAACGTTCGCGAGAACGTTCATACGAGAGAACCCATCACGAGGAGCAAACGTCGAGCGACAAGCACAGAAGTCGATATCACGAAAGACACGGACATCGTTCCCGAGAGAGATCTCATCAATCGAGTAGGGTCAAATCATCGAACGGCGATCATCGATCTCGAGAGAATCACGGGAGACACGATTCCTCGAGGAAGACATCGATAAAAGAGGACAGATCGCAGAATTTAAAAGACTATTCCTCGCCTAAGAACGTCGAGCGAGAACGCAGTCACAGCGAGGCTCGTTCGTGCGAGAATACGAAGAAAGATTTGTCGGTGAACGCTCAAGACTGTAAGGACTTGGATCTGTCGCAGTTCGATGTCTTGTCGGAAATCGATGAGAATACATCCGACGATCGGGATTACGAGAGTCGAGCATCGTCTCCGCGCGAAACCAAGCTGCACTCTGATTCCAGAGATTGGTTGGAAAGTTGTGCGACAAAGGAAGCGAGAGAAAATGGCGAAGACGCAAACAAGAGCAAAAGAGAGTGGCGAGAGGAATTAAGCAAGGTAAAAAAAAGGGACTACGATCCAGTGTCCAGTTCCAGAAGTAATCCTAATGCCATTTCAGATTCCCCACTTAGTTCCGCGCCGCCCGCGGCAATCTTGATAGTAAGAGACACTTGCACGAGTTCGAAGAGAGAAAAATTTGAGAGTACGATTACTTGTGATACTAGCGAATGTTCAGGCTTGGGAGAGAAGAAATGTTCCGACGCTTTTTCGGATGAAACGCGACCGGAAAAAGACGCGGAACAAACTGAATCCGTGTACGGTCCACTGTTGCCACCAACATTTGTATCCAACGTATCCGACAGTGACGAAAAGACGTCGCCGCATGCTCTCGACGAAAATAAAATTGATAACCAAGTCCAAGTTGATGAGTCGCACAAAAAAAGTGTGTGTTTTATCGGACCCTGTCCACCACCAGGATTGAGCAGTCGTCAAAATGAAGAGCGAGAAGAAGCGAAAGATACTAATACGTCTGCGACAGAAGCAGACACCGTTTTTGGGCCAGTATTACCGCCGCATTTGTTGCAACGGCAACGCGACAAGATTATCGGGCCTGTCCTACCGGACGCCGTGCAACTGTGTGAAGAAAGTTCAGTCGCATTGTCCGAATCTGACGAGGACTGTGCGATAGGTCCTTTACCGGTCGATCATCCAGCTTTAAGAAATAGCCGTGTGCACGAGAAGCTAGATTTGAGAGCGCAAAAGATCAGAAACGAAGGATATTTGGAAGAGGTAAAAAAAGTGGCTTGCGTATTAAACAAATATTTACAGTTTTATCAACGAGGGAAGAAAGCATGTATTCGTATTTCAGGTTGACATTGGAAGCAAGCGTGAAGAATGGATGACCGAGTTGCCACCGGTCCAAGCTGCTAATCTTGGATTAGGCCCGCGCAAATTTAGGGTTCGAGAAGGCCCGGATACGTCGGATAGATCGAGTTGGACTGACACGCCCGCGCAAAAAGCTCAGAAGCAAAAAGATTTGGTAAATATGTATATATTATATTTTTATCCTGGGCTGTGCTATTTATTCCTTTTCTAAATTAAAGAATATATTTTTCATATATGTGCTAATGTTAAATTTATCGAATATTTTTAGGAGGTAAAAAAACTTAATAATGTATCAGAACCAGATAAGAAGTGTGTAGAAGAATTTTACAAGAAGGACACGGGAAAAAGCAAAAAGCGTGAAAAATCGCTATTAGAAATGCATCAAAGCAAAATTGCAAAGAAAAAAAGGGTAATTTGATTTTACATATATAATTTTCAAAAATCACGATGTATCAAGCAACTCGTCGAATTAATTTCCAAAAATGGTCACTCTTATTAAGAAGTATATATTGCATTTTACAGAAAAAAGAAAAGGAGGCAGAACGAACTGGAATATCAACGAGAAGACCATTTGACAGAGATATCGATTTACAAGTTACCCGATTAGATCAAGCGCAAAAAAAGACTGTTCTGATGAAAGCACAATTGCTCGACGATAGATTCTCACGTGGACAAATTTAAATTTTTTAATTGTCACGCGAAAATTGTAAATAATTGCTACTAACGAAACTAAAATCTGTATCAAGTATGTTATCTTTGTTAAGAATTAACAAATGGTAGAATATTGATACAGATTCGTGCCTTGAATTACGAAATATTTATTTTAATTTCAATTCTGTAAAACGTGTAACATTTTTCGCATCTTTCTGCAGCAAATACATTGTGTTAAGAATATTATTGTAAATTTAATAGAGATGTTATTCAAATTTTTTATTTATCAATTAGCTATGTCAAATAGCTATGTGCGATAAAACTTTTTCAAAATTTTATTATGTTTTCTATAAATTGTTTTTCTATACATTTCATAACACAATACAACAGTGCAAATTTCAAAGTTATATAAACGATGTTATCTTTTATAAATTAGTTCATCATGAACAATACTGCTCTCGTGATGCAGTATAAGAACTCTATAGTGAGAATATGAGAACGTATGTAATAATAACAACGATTGTAAGGTAAATTTTCGCATGGATGTAGATATGCCGCTTGTTGTATTTCTTTGTCATACATTTTTTCTATAAACAAAAGAGTACAAAATAGTGTAATATTTAACACAGATTATATGTACTTTGGAATGCATGTTATGTACATGAATATACGATATTGTAATTGTGTATGTATGTGTATTATCGCAATTCTGTACATATTTAAATAATGAACAAGTAATTGTACACATCAATAGAGTATTATTAATAGTTCTCTCTCTCTCTCTCTCACTCCCTCCTCCCATCTCTCTCTGTTCACCTACTGCAAATTCCGCTTTGAATTGTTCCGCATTTTGATTAGAAGATCGATGATAGCAAAAATCCAGATTTACAATTAATTAATTACATACGGTATCAAATAAAAATCAACTCGGGCATTTTACTTTAGTTTTGTCCCTCGGGCCATTATAATATTATTAGATACAATGACCGTAATTACACAAAATAACGATTTCTGCTATCTTTTATTTTCCAATATTTACAACAAATGCCACATTTAGCTGCAGCGCATGTAAAATGCGTATTATTTTGTATTTATGTTCCGTGTGTAGCGTGTACGCGACGTACAACTTTTCGAAAGTGAAATGTGTCTCGCCCACGCGTATACGCGATTGGTTGCATCCTACGCACTTCCCGCGTGTCATTAGTCGCGATCACGAACCATCACGAACTTTTATTGACAATTCGTTTGATTAGTCAGTGATCACGATTCTCAGCTGATTTTAGCAAACATCCGATTCGATCGATACTCCACCAATAGTTCGCTCATTATCATTCCTTCGTCGTCGTAGTCGTCGTCGTTTCTTGGTTTTAGGATTAGTCGGCGAGTCTTAACGCGTCTAACCTCAAAGTGACGTTTGATTATGGCCCTGTTGTGAATGTGGGACTGTTTCTCGTTTCTCGTGTCGTCGCAAACACGTGAGAAATTGCTTCCGCCGAGGGAGCATTCGAAAACGTTTCCCACGAAAACAGATATTTCAAGGTGGAGAGAAGAGAGAGAGAGAAAAAAAAAGGAGATATTCTCAAGAAATCTTTCCCAATAATGGTCGGCTAAGGCGTGTATGCACCACTAATAATGGTTGCATGGAATAAGAGCCATACGCAGTTTTAAGGTATGTATCGCGCATCCTCATCTCATGACGAGTGAGTGGGCCCATCGACCCACTCCGAAATTATGGGAATCTGTGTAACTCGCGTCGTCGATGATAGCCGCAAGTGTCATCGTGATATAACGCGGAACGTCGCATCTTGTCCGCCGTATGCGCGCACGAATACACGCACGCGCCCATAGTGCGTCACGTTACTCCTAGCATTAATTGATACGCATCAACAGGGTGAGGAAGAGGTAGGAGGGAGGAGAAAAAGCGCATGTATCGTTCTACCAAGTTCTTTTGTCCAATAAGGCAGAAGGGCTCGCATTTAGAGACAAAAAAATAGACTTTCACAAAAAAGGAATAATTGTTTCGCTTGATAACAAGTGTTGCTGCGTTTTTTATTATTTCTCGCGTCGTCAATGGTCGACGGAGTTTTTCCTCGATCCGCTGAACGATAGACCTTGGAAGCTGCGCGACAATCAATTTACAACAATTACTCACAGATCGTTATTAATGCTTTGTCTTGCTACATGTAAATCACAATAATTTGTTGTGAAATTATGTGCATGAGTTTTAGAATTGCAAAGAAGTAACTGACTGGTAGGCCGAATTATTTGTTTATGTTTATTATGTTTATGTTGCGTGATGTGTATCATGTGTGTCACTACACATTGTTCGTACAATTGACAAAGAACAACAATTTTCGATTTAATGGGGATTTTTTTAATTTTATTCTATATGAATTTTATTGTGTATTAAATAGTAACGATTTATCCGAATGCACATAGCGGAATATTGTTCTGGAATTAATGTGAAATGTGTATTTATTTTTGCAGATCAGTCCAGCTACAGTTTTTATAATGTGTTTTATATCTTGTGGAAATGCGCTCTTCCCAATATCTGCAAAATAGATCTGGCAATTGTATAATGAACGATTCAAGAGAAGTCTTAACAAAATATTGAAATTGATCGATTAAAAATGGGACAGTATTGTTTAAACTACCAAATCCTATTGTGGCTTATCTTTTTGATTCTATGTGCTACATACAGCAGTGCGGATATTTTAGTATTTAACGCAGTTGCAAGGCATCAAATTGAAGAGGAATTTCGTGACATGCCTGCCAAATTTGGAGGCATAATACCACCCGAAGGGATTAAGGTATTTAGGATTAAGGTGTTTAATCAGTTTTGTAATCAGTTTTGTGGTTATATTTGCTACTTTAAATTATATTATTTTTATCAGGGTGTGGTAGTCTATTCTGATCCCCCCACTGCATGTCAGAAGATACAGGCTCCACCGAATAATACTGATTACACTGGTAATTGGATAGCTTTAATACGACGTTACAACTGTAGTTTTGAAATAAAAGTTAGAATGGCGCAAGAAGCTGGATATGATGCTGCTATTGTACATAATATAAACAGCAATGAATTAGGTAAATTGAATGCATAATAATTATAAAAATAAAATATTCTATCTTGACAAAACTATATGATAAGTTTATTTCATTTCAGAACCAATGTCAGCAAAGGATCCTGTAGGAATTTTGATACCGGCTGTATTTGTCAGCGATATTACTGGAATGGTTATCAAAGAAAATTATTTATATGACCAGCTGTTCTTTATATTGATTAATGATGATCTGCCGTTCAACATCAATACTCACTTGCTTCTACCCTTTGCTATTGTTGTTGGAATATGTTTTTTAATCATATGTATTTTTATGGTAAGTTGACATAAAAAAAAAGTGTAATATATCGTACAATACATATTTTAGCGTTAATTATTTATGCATACATATTATAGATTATCAGATGTATAAAAGACAGAAGGCGACAACGAAGGCACAGACTACCCAGTTCTAGTTTAAAAAAGATTCCTACACACAAATACACAAAGGGTGATCCATATGAGACATGCGCCATTTGTTTGGATGATTATGTAGAGGGAGAGAAATTACGAGTTTTACCATGTGCGCACGGTAAGTTTTTCTCATTGACGAGTTACTTGACATTTATTACGGTATCAAAACGAACGCATTTTATTGAATATAATTTCGTTAGAATTTTTCTCAATACCATTTCAAAGAGGTAAAAGTGTTAAATTATTGTTATTGACGTACGTTCAACTTCAGCTTATCATTCAAAATGTATTGACCCGTGGTTGACAAAAAATCGAAGAGTTTGTCCCGTCTGCAAGAGGAAAGTTTTTGCGTCGGATGAACAAATCGTGACCGATGAGAGCGATTCGGATGCTGATGATACAACGCCTCTCATTCGCGATGGTCATCAAGGTGCGTGGATATTTTCTTTCAGGGTCAATAAATGTTTCACCGCTCACCCTGTCTTTGTGCAATTTATTTACATTTCAAATAACTCGTGAAATATTTGATTAGGTACGCAAGGTGGCACATTTGCCCACCAAAGGGAGAATCCTTTCAACAGAGCTAGGAGATCGCAGGCGAGACAGGATACTAGTAATTCCAGTGATAATAGCTCCGACTCTGAGCATTCTTCTGTTACTACTGAAGACGGTGTTAGTACTAGCGCTGGTGAACCATCCAATGTCAATGTTTTTATGGTATCCGATACCCATAGCATAAACGGTAAGGTCTATCGCTAATCCTACTACACACATTCCGTCGTGTACATGGAATGCAAGAAAATGTTCACAGTTGTTTGTATTAATCTGCTTTTCCCGAACAGGCGAACCGCAAGATTTAGAAGGCTCAGCCAACAGTGAAAAGTCACACGTGGTAAATTCACACGCGAACGCTCAAGAATTCCCAGCACCTGTTCAAATCGCATCGACACGACGTGGAAGGGCCGCGTTGAATTCCGGGATATCAAATTCTGATTATTATGTGGAAATCTCGGATAATACATCGGGAACGGCCAACAGTTCCAACAGAAATGATGTTGTTACGTAATGGCTTGACATAGCTGTGACTACAATTATATGTGTTACGAGACGTTCCGTTGCGTCTCATAGAAGGATTCTTCCTTTTTTTCACGGGAAAGACAGTGGTACAATGGTGCACGGCGTTAGTAGAGGCGACGTAAGACAATGAAGACGAATAATCCGAAAATAGCGTTTTTAATACACACGAAACTATTCACTTCTCTTAAATAATACGATATTACGACTTTGCTTTATGCCAAATATTCTTTTGCATTGTCTTTTGCACTAATATGTCAAGTACGGTACGGTATATATATTGTGTATATTTGGCGAATTACGTAATATTACACTACCGATTTCTTCTTTGACGAATACCATGTGGAGTGACTATTATGTATTACAGATTGATGAACATCTGATATTTTTTAATTCGATTTTCATAGGAAATAAAAAAAAGTAATATATAATTCAACCAATATGTAAATAATAATTATGTGATTTGTTATTTTTATTCAAATGATGGTGTTATGTATTACGTTATTCCCTGAATATTTTCAAATTTTACAATTAGTCGGAGCTATATTGCCAGTAAATAAATAGATATATACATATAGGTAAGACTGTAAACTCTAGTTCACCGTTTAATGAAACATTATTTTATGTACTAACTTAGGAACTATATACGGCCTACTTGATCTTGTTCCACAGAATTTTTAATTCAATTGCTTATTTTTCGTTGTTTAATTATTAAAACAAAAATTTGTATCATATAACGTATGTTAACAGTAAAAAGTATCGATTAATTTTGCAGCGATTACGTTAACAGTAAGTAACGAATGCTGGTGATTGGCTACAAATTGACTAACATGGCTGTTTTGTCGACATTAAATTTGTAAATATTTATTTGTCAATACATACGGAATAAGAAAGCATCCGCGGGCACACTGTTCTTTAAGAGTTCTTTAAGATTCAGTTGCCGGATGTAGATCGCGTTTCAGAAAAAGCAGGAAGAGATGAAGTAGATATGGGTGTGTAATAAACCGTTGTATTTAATTAACAAAGCGTATTTATTTATTTATTTTGTCACTTTTGATCGCCGTGTAATCTCTCTGTCCATTTCCCTCTCCCCGTTCTCCAACGTATTTCATCTAACCACAGCTGATCTACTTTGCCGATTTATCACTTCCTTTCATTTTTCCGCCCCTCTTAATCATAATGTAATTAAACACGTTGAGATTGAAAAAACATTCCAACTCCCAAATTGGATGAGACAGGAAAATGAAAGCTTCCAACAAATATTGCAGTTGAATGAATTTCTGTTATCGCTTTATCTATCATCACGCATCTAGCTTCTCCTTTTATTCATTATTTTTTATATCATAAGGGGATATTTTATAAAAACTAAATTACGAATAAAATAAAGAGCTGAGAAAGCTGCACAACTTTTCACACGTATTTCTTGCATAATACGGTTTTTGATTAAGACATGATTGATGAAGATTAAAAATGCTCTGTATTCTGCTTGACAAAATAAAGCGCTCTTGAAAAAGAGTTCAAGTTACTTTTGATATCCCTAATATTTAATTAATAATAGATACATAGACCGTAGATATATGCAGGAATAACCAGTGCTTGCCTTTAATAACTCTAAAAAAAGAATAAAAACTTTGAGCTATTTTTGCGAATAACATATTTTAAAAGCACAAAAGTACCAATACTCGAATTAAATCCATTAAGAAACTAAAGATAACATTTTCATTAGATATAAAAATAAAATTATATATTTGTAACTTTACAAAAAATGCTGCTTTCAGCAGTCAATCAAGAGTTGAATGATGTTAATATTTAAGTTTCTAAATTATTGCGATGAATATTACGACTACTTCGGGCCGTGCTTAGGTTTGAACCCGACCTAACAGTGAGTTAACTAACAGTCATCTAGATTTGAGCGCTATTTCACCACTGTTTCTCTTAAAAGTATTTTAACAGAATTCTTTTGTTTATAAGTAATTCTTAAAGCAGAGTTTTATTATTTACATGTTGTAAGACGTACAAAGTCGCGCTATAATCAAACATTCTTCATGTACATGTTTCGTAGGAACATCCAACTGTGGAAGGTTTTTACGCATCGAAATCGAGTGCGATTACCGTGCGCCCGACTCATTCTTGCACGTTTGAAGCGTGACCTTTACGCATTTCGGTGGTCTTCCAAGCTTTCTTTTAGCCGTGGTACTCACTATTTCATTGGCAATTGGCTTTCGTTTGGAGGTTTCATGCGCTTTACTCGTACCGTAAACTATCCTCATTGCACTATCGATCTCGCGCGAATCCACCTCGTTTTTCACATTCTCAGTAGCCTTTCTCGAGCGCCTAGTACGTCCAGATATCCATTCCATCTCATCGAATTGAGCCTGTAAGCGACGAGCAAATTCCAAGTCCTCTCGTTCCTGGAGTAGTAACCGCTCAATCCGTTGCTGCTCTTCTATCACCTCCTTATCCAAGAGAAGTTTGCCGGCGATGTGGTGATTCTCCTCGACACATTCTTCCGTTTCATCGCAACATGTCGATAGCGAGTCGTTCAATTTGCTGTTACTTTTATTGCGCGTGCTATTCGATTCGTGGCTGTCTACTTTAGAAGAGATCTTGGTTAAGTTTCGCGCGGATTTCCTCAAACTCGACACAATTTTATTACTCGCGTCCTTCGATAGCTCACTCTTCTCTGAACCGTTTGTATTACTGTGAGAAGTTCTGCTTATCTTTCGACGTTTCGTTCTGTGCGTGTGCGGCGTACAGTTTCCATCGTGTTTCGTGCTTTCTTGAAACGATGAGAGTAAGATTTGATTCGCCGCGGGCGGACTTTTGTTTCTCGTCTCAGATAATGCTTTATTCTTTGTTGTTTTGCTTCGTTTAGGTCTGTTGGATTCTGTTTCTGATATCAACATCTCTTGTTCCATATTTTCTTTTTTCCTTTTAATTCCCTCCATCGTATTGTCGACAGTTATATTATCGTTGCCATGTTGCTCATCATTTTGCAAACTTGTTTCACCGAATGAAGAATTGAAGCCCGTCGAGTTATCTTCCTCCTCGTCTGTTGCGTTCAAAGTGAGTTCAGTTCCTCTTCTAATGTTCCGTAAATTTCTATACCGTTTATATTTTGTTACCATATTATTTTTTGTTCGCTTTTTCCAGGATTTTTGACTTTTTCTCGCGTCCGATTCGCTGTCCAACGTTATCTTGCTCATTTTTGTGTCATTAACTATCTTGCCTGCGTTCTTTGTATAATTTTTGTTGTCGTCAAACGAAGACAGTTCGGGCATAAAATCAAGTCGGCGAATAGCATCGTTTGTCTGAAGTTTAGTTATGAACTTGTCTGAAACCGTTAGAGAATAGTCGAGTGGTGATGTTGACGAGTTCTGATTGATTAGTGTCTTTTTCGTATCCTCTACATTGTACAGGTTGTGTACAGGTTGCTTTTTCTTTACATCTTGTTTTATCCTGCCTATAAAAGCATTTTATGATTAATAAAAAATAATTTAATAAATAAAAATTTATAATACGTGATGTCCATAACTTGCCTCTAAAAGCGCTCCAAGAACAGCCAATAATACGTTTCATGTATGTTGGTGATGGAGGCTTTGGTACTGCATTAGATACCTTTTTCAAAATAGGGATTACTCTAATTAGTTTTGGGTCCATCAGTTTGCCATCTGAAAATAAATACATTAATATACAAAGTTGTTTAATAAAAAAAGTTTCTGATAATTTTGTACTAATAAAATAAGCACCACTCTCAACCACTTCGATAGATACCTACCTGTAGAAATTTTCAACTTTGTTCTCGGTACTGCCTTGATTGGTTTGTAAGTGATGGATCTCCTGATTTATACTATCGTGACTACCGGAGCTCTCGGCGCTTCCTATTCTCTCATCATTATCAGCCAATGTCATGCATATCTCTATCCCCAAACTCTTCTTCTTGTTGTTTACCACGTCATTTGGTACATGCAGTTCCTCCTTAGTCTCTGTAGTATAAGCTCTGGATGTAGAACATCCAGGATCCATATAATTCGAAGTACAAGGTTGGATAAACTTGGACACTGTTTGATGTTTCAGTGGCTTCGTGACAGCGTTGTAAACGGGCATTTGCTTTTGACAACAATATTTAACCCGATTCTTATACGAATTTGATGCATTTGTCTCATTTGAATTATATACATTCGAATATATCGCTTCAATTTTAGATAATCTTTCTATATTTGTTTGTCTCTTTAAACCGTCTCCAACATCCTCGAGAGAATTCATCTGCCTGTCTTCCAAGTGTACAGATTCAGTTTGCAAGGCCTTCACATTATTTACAAATGTATTCTTAGTATTAAATCTGGATGTATCAAAAACGCAACTTGATATCGATGTGTTTAAACGTTCATTGTAGCATTTTGTTGTCACTTTTTGATTCTCCACTACCTGCTGCTTTGCCAAGGACTTAGCTAGCAATTCATCCTGTGCCAATTGAGCCAGTAATAGTTGCTGCTCTGCCTGAATCTTTTGAATCAAGGCTTCGCTGGCCATTTGCTCAGCTTGTCTCTGACGACGCATCTCTTCCTCAGCCATTTTAAGTTGCATCTCATATTCCCTGTGTATTTCTCCAGCTGCGCTAAGTATTCTATTAGGTGCATAATCTGTATTAACAAAAGATAATTTTCTGTTATATACTTTACATGAAATTATTATATTTAATATGGAAAACACTATGTATTTTGTAACTATAATAATTTTCTATTTAAGAAACCATCAATTGATGAAAAGTTATAGCTGCTAACGGCCAAACGCCTTTAAATAGCTTCAGAAAGAGCAAAATAATGCCACATATACATAAAAAAAATAATACTAAGATTATATAATTCGTATAGAGTATCCATCTGTTTCAAAGAATACGCGAAATGCCGTCCGAGGAATAAATGCATTTGCTGTCGCACGCCGATAGGTTATGTTATGTTTGTTATTACTAGTGTACGTGCGCGTATATATGTATGTGCGTCACTTACCAGCGTCCAAATCGAGATCTCCCTCCTCACCATGGTGCTTACTCTCGACCTCCTTTGGAAACTTAGCTCTGATGAGATCCCAAAGATCATTGTTTACTAAGGTCTCCGATTTGGTAGCGGTACGCAGCCACGAGCCCACCCTGACTCGGCATAGCGGACAGTTTAGGCTGTTGTGCTCGAACGTACCTTTGAGGCATCCTAAGCAGAGGTTATGTGTGCATGGCAGCGTCACAGGCTCGATTAGTATACCGCGGCATATTGGACACGTGAGGTCACGTAGATGCACATCCGCAGTAATCTGTGGCACTGATAGATCTAATAACTTCGATGTACGTTTTAGATACATTTTCCCATATCTTCGCGACAACTACTACTACTACTATACAATCACTGTATGATCACTGTGTACAACACTACCGCCCCCGTGCGAGGATTGTCGCAAATACTTCGCATTTTCTGCATTTATTTCATAGATGGAACTCTGGTAAAAAGATTCGGCGATCTGAAAACGCGTAGCTGTACTGTATAGTATGGAAATATGTGATATGTGATTATCGCAAAGTAGGATGAGAAACAAATGCGAACTTGTAATTTGACCATCTGTATCACGTATATGAATAACAGATTTATTTACATTATAACACGGAATAGATACGATCCATCCTTTCATATTTCATATCATTCTATTCGTTGCTTTTGTTTCAATAAAATTTATTTTATTTCATTTTGTATAGATATAAAAAATCACATTTATATTACGAAATAAATACCATTTATAAATTTTGCATCATTGATACCCATACAGCACAAAATATCCTTAGGACATTTTGGGGAGATCTCGTCCTCAGAACATCCTTGGGACACCGAAATATCCTCGATGTCCTGAGGATAGCCTGAGGATGTTTTATGCTGCATGGGTAAATATTCCTTTACCAGGTGTTTCATGATGAATATGAAAGTTCTGGGATCGTGATCGCCTTTCCTCTCGTACGCTTCACTTTCTTCGTAACTATCAAAAATATGTTAATTATTTTTATTATTTGATGAAATTGTATTTGAGATAGTTGAAAAATAGTTTAGGAGACATTTCACGGATATTCAAAGAGTATCTTTTATTTGACATTGTTATTAAATTGAAATTATCATAAACATAAATACACAAAGATAAATAAATAAACGCATTGTCTTCTCAATAATAGTAGTTTGACAAATGATAAAAAAAAATTTATTTGCAAGTAAAAACTTTAATAAATCTAGTAGATAAACGCTAAATTAGAATTTGATCAATCAAATAGTCTCAATCTATATATACATATATATATATATAATACACACACACATATATATATATATAATACACACACACATATATATATATATATGTGTGTGTGTATTTATCCTGATTGATCGACTTCTAATTTTCTATCTCCATTGCATAGTTTGATATGGATTGATATCGAAGGGAAATCCTTAAAAAATTGCACAAAGAAAATCCATTGAGAATTTTAAATAACAATAAACAAGAATAAAAACGTAAAATTTTTCTTAACCAATTTACAAATCGTGTGTACTTAAAAGATATACGTGATGCGCGTAAAAAGACGATACGCAAAAACTTAATATTATATAATTGAAATATAATATCTACAATTCATATGAAAGCGAGTAAACGAAAAAAATGTTTATGATTTATAATGCACTAGCAAATTCGTTTCGTTCGCCCCTCCTTTTTCATAAACTATATAAAATCTATTTATCAATTTTATATATCCTTCGAGTACAAAGCTAAGTGTGTCAGATACGTCAAACATCTGCACAACCTTTAGGAATCTCCACAACCCAGTGACCCTGAATTTGTAGTAGCACTATGGAAGCTTCGCATTTTTATATTATGAGAAATGGTTATCTTTTCATACATTCTAGTCCGAACAAACCGATATATTCATCACGCATAGAGACAGTTGAATATTTGATCAGCCTTGTGGGTAATTTATCTATTAATTAATTTTTATTTTGTTTTAGCTGAACGATTTCTCAGATTTTTCTTTGTCGCTTGATCAACTTCTGGCAGATCGTCGTCCTCGGACAAGGCAAGTTTCTTTCCTATATACATAACACATGCATTTAATTACAATAAATATATACATATAGACTATAGATAAATGTGTTATAAAATAAACTCCGATATATAGGTAATAGAAATAAAACCACAATAATAAAATATATCATACCAAAGCATATCATAATAAAAATAACAAAATAAATGGAATCACCCTTACCTTCTCGTTTCCTTAACTTCTGCTTTGGCTTTGTCTTCGTGACGACGGGTACGACGTTTTCGCGTGCACGCTTAATTTGCTTTGAGATAAAGAAATACAAGAGGTAACCTTGAAAGAACAAAATAATAGATACTGCCGAAAATTGTACAGCAGGAGAATTGAAGTTGCCAGTAGCATAATCGAATTTGAACTCCAGTTTTCTTAGACCATATAGAAACACCGCACTTGAAAGCACGATGGTTGCTATTCGCGCGAACGCATATATCGAATTGGCGATGAAGAACGACACTGCAAATATCATTTAATATTATATTAATTTAGAATACCAGCTATGTAAGTGTAATAAGTGACAAAAATAACTTACATTTTGTTCTTTTCTCTTTTTGACTAATAAAGTGAATTAATCTAGCTGCATGTAGTAAAGCGTCTCCCACATAATGGAGAGTCAGCAAAATTAGGGCAAGTTGTTGGAAACTGTAAGGATAAAAATCATATTACAATAAAAACTGAAAACTGAAGAAGCAAAGAAGCATTTATACCATATTATTATAATATTACTTGAAGAAGTAAGCTGCAAATGTGAAGAATAATCCTATGGTTGCATGAAGGAGACGTTGTGGAATGTCTTCTTTCTTGATTCGTTGAAAGTAGAGCTCAGGATAACAATGCAACCAGTACGCAAGTTGGCCAATAAAGAATAATTTCAAAGAAAAAGACATTGGGGCTGGGTATTCTTCCCACAATGACCATATGTTCAGAAGCATATTTTCTCTAGACAAAAAAAAACCATCAATTTTATATATATATATATTTTTGACATTATTACTCCAATATTACCATTCTATTATTAAAATTTAAAAAATGCAATTGAGATAAAAATTTACATTAATATAAATTTTGTATTACCTGATTACAATATCAATAGCCCATAATGCAGATAATGTATAAAACACTATCAATTGGCTGGACTCGTTAAATTTAGAAAGCTTTACTTTGCTGAGATGAAGTCGTTTGGAAATTTTCTACAAAGAAAAATAATTGCATTGATAAAAGCTTGAGTATATTCTTACATTCGATATCACAATGGTATACTTACATCAAATATATATTCCTGAAGTACAGCATGCATAATAATAGTTATTAAAAAGTAAAAAAATACTGCACATATATCTTTCAATCCTGTGGTATATTTTATTACTGCTGTTGGGTCTTCAGTAGTATTGGTCACATTGTGATGAATGGCGATAAACATATATGCCCATGGTGAAGTAACCTAAAAAAAAAAGATAATTATATTCAAATAAATTCATTGATGAAATAAGTAAATTCAGAAGTCATACGTAAAGCATAGATATTTGAATAATATGATATATGATAAGTTACTCTGATATAAATTTTAATTCCTTGATATAGTCTTCTTTGAGAAAGTAATATAAAAAAACTCTATGCAAGATAATTATATGTAGCATACAGCTATATGTAGTCCTTATGTAAAACAAATTATGTGTAGTATATAAGTTTAAATATATGTGTACAATTATATGTTGTTATTACAAGTAAATTTCTGTATATAAATATTTAAAAATGAAGAACATTTTTTCAAACTTAATAAATAAATATGTATATGCAATTAAATTCTATTGTTCTATTTTAACTGATGTTGACAACCTGTAACATATGGTTATCATACTTTTCATTTTTCTACGAATTTCTATGTAATATGAAATACAAAAAACACAGCCAGATGCTGATCACAAATGACTTGTGCGAATACAATTTTTCAAATTGTTCCATTCAGACGAAGTAAACATGATTGGAACAAATGACAGACAGATGTTAAAAGGAAAAACTCGCTGTCACACTGACCTGTATCATCAAGCCGATCACGAAAACCATAGCCACACAGGAGACGATATCTGCATGATTCTGTATAATAAATTCATGGCTGAGTATCGGCGGATTTTTGTTCGAGCTTTTGCGTCCCTTTATCGCGACCATCCTGACTTGGCAGAGTGTGCTCACTGCAGAGCGAACGACGGACTCCGACGGACTGCAACAAACAGCCGTTTTACCGCGAAAACCGGACCGCACCGCTCCGCTCTGAAACGTCACACGCACACATTGTGCATGCGGCGGCCAACGCCGCAATGTGGCGCTCGCCATCCCAACTCGTTGGCACTACACACGTCATGCTGGCAATCATACTCCGAAGAATTATTTCCAAAAATTCTGCCTCGACCATATTATAAAGATGCAGAGATTCATATTTTACTTTTATGAATAAGAGATGTAACGAGAAAAAAAGATTTAGAAAAAGTATGAATTAGAGTTTCGAACGCTCGTTTGACTTGTAACGCGATGTGTACGATGTTTCTAGCGCAATTTAAATGAAAAAGGAACGGTTGCACGTGATTGCATACTTAATAAATAATTATTGCAAATTAAGAATTTAGTTTGGCGTAAAAATCATTTTCGATTGTTATGTTTTCTGAAAGTAATTAAGATTTATCAGTATAATATATTGTGTTTCAAAATTTTAATTTAGCAGAAAACTGAATGATGTATGCAATCTAACACATTCGGAAGATATAATTTATTTCACAACATAGATACAACATTTTGCATGATAACATGTGCATATTCGTTTTTTCTAAATTTAGGCATTTATCGCAACAATTAAAATGCGCAATTTCGAGTTGTTGACAAATATAATTTTACACGTAATACGCCATCAAGAATTCAATGACGTCGATAATTTAATAGTGGAACAGAATAAATTATAAAATTGCGATATATACTACACATGCATATACTATACTACATAAGATGTAAATTCATTGATCAACAATGAGTCAAAAATATTTCTCTCTCTAAAATTTAAAAAATAATATATCTCATTTTTAGATATTCTTATTGCGCTAATGACGGATAGCTCAACAACAGTTCAACATTACACAAGTACTATTTATGTATTCTGTATATACAACTTCGAAAAACTTGGTATATATAACACTCTATTATTTAATTATACATACGTACTACATCCACACGTGTAAATCATAAATAAAAAGTGTAATATATTTGTATTAAATATTAATATAACTCATTAAACAAAATGTTGGCACCAAATTTGATTAAATTTGCTGCCAATTTGCTAACATTGTTAACATTTGGTCATCTGGGAATTTGATTGTAAGAGGGAAAGCCCTCTCGGTGTAGACAATTTATGTAAAATATTGATTTCTTGCAACAAAACATTTCTCCTTTTACCTGCTATCGTTCTCAGTTATATGTTAAAACAAAAAAGTTTAACAATTATTTAATATATTTAATTGTAATTTAAAAAATGTGAGTCTTAATAAAATAAAAAGATATAATGTAAATTTTTTATAATTACAAATCTAATTTTCTACATAATTAATGAGAACTTTCGTATCTCTTCTATACTCGTTTAATTTTGTTCTATAATTTATTAGAGACTCATAGTATATCAATAAATAGATGAAAAAAGTTCTTATGTAACTCGTCGTTTAAATAGGCATTATTAATATATATATTATATAGTAATATATTATTCAGAGTTGCCTTTTGACACAATTGTTTCATCGTTTACCAGACCATGTGTATATATTTTGCGACAACTTTGAACAAGCAATCTATCGAATAATTTATGTATATATTGTACCTCTCTGGAGTTTATATTACATATATATATATATAAACTTTCAACAGTACAATAATACGCACATTGTGTGTTACATTCTACTCGAACTAGAATACATATATAATTCTATTTTATTTCTTTACGAAACATGCATTAATTGCTATTCACTAACAAGTTAATTTTCAACGTATACCGCATTATTTTGAGCAGCATCCAAATTGGAAATCATTATGTGCTCAATTCTTATATAAACATCAGTATGTTATGTGTGTAGGTGAATTATGTTGAAAAATTATAACATACGCTACTACATACAGATTTCTCTGTCTTATGCGCATTCTCATTATGCGTCTTAATTACATTCTGTATAATCCTAATGTTTTGCAATTCTACGTTGACGCTTGAGTAAATTCACGAACATGTGTAAGAGTGCACAAGTCATAATTTTTAGTGATGTCAAAAAGAATTGAATCTCTAAATACCTTTGTGGTCACAAGCCTTAAATTTTAGCGAAATTTTTTTTTAAATGTTATGTGCAACTAACGCGACTCAGATCAACTTTTTTTCTTGCGAGTCGTTCATCATTGCAAAATTATGTTTTGAGGTAGACAGGTATATTCTCCAATAGCTTTTTATAGCTTCGAATAATGCTAAAAGAAAGACAACAAACTTTTATCGACGCAAAATATCGTATTACTTTTAATCCTATACTTTAGTAGACCACAAATACAGTTCAGAACGTTTAATCTGTGAAACTCTTTAATTTTTTAAAAATCTGATTTACTTCTCTCTCTTTCTTTCTTTCTCTCTCTCTCTCTCTCTCTCTCTCTCTCTCCCTCCCTCTCAATTTGTGTTACAATTAAACATTACATTTATTAAATGTTATATTAAATTATACAACTAAAATAATAAATAGAATATCAAAGTATCGACTAAATGTTGATAAATATATTATTTTATTAAAAAATACTGCATCTAATATCATAATTCTGTTAAATAATTATTTAAAAAAAAGCAATTTAATATGTGTGTATATATATCTACATTTATAGACAAAAGATTGGAATATTTTTTGTTTGATAAATTTTGGAACTGCTCACATTTGGATTTTTAGTTGAGTTTGGAAATATTTCCAAATTCAACTAAAACCCGTGGTTGTATATTTAATACGGTATGTCTATAGGAAACGATAATTTATTACATATTTTTATATGCACATTACAGAATACAGAATATGTAACGAGCATATAAAGTCTAGTAATTCAGATGATTATTAAAAAGACATTTAAAAAAGATATACCAAATTAAAGGATAGAATAAAAAGTGTAATTCTTAATAGACATCAACAACGTAAAATAAAATAAACTAAGAAAATAATAAATATTAAATATTAAATAAAATATTACTTTAAAATATTTTATTTTTTAAATCTCTTGTGACATACTGTGCAAATCTAATAAAATCTGATATTTCTACATGTACAATGATGTTTTGTTTTCGTAATGCAACATGGTTTGATGAGTATATATGATTTAGCTTGTATGATCAAAACAACAAAAAATTACATATATTCACATGAAAGTTGATTAAACTTTCTTTTACAAAAGAATTTTCCTTTCTTTAATTTAATTACCTGACACTGCTCTAACACAATTCTGCGATTAATTTTGGATATTTTTGTTTCGCTGTTGTACCAAATGGTGCAAATCTAAGATTGCTTGTTCTTCTGCAAAAAAACAGTTTAAACAATTTTACATTTTAATATTAAATACATATGTAGTTTTGTCATTGTTTGAAATCTCACCTAATAGTGTTCATAATAATATTCATATTACCAAATAAGCTTACAGATATGTTTTAGACATCCGAGTTGCTAACGAGAAATACCGTCTTTATCAACAAGCTGCACCGACGTTACACATCAGATATCTTATCTTTGCGCTTCACATATTATCTTTGTACCTTTGTACCTATTTCTTACCCGAGTTGGAAAATGTTCAATTTACCAACATGATTTCTAAAAAAAGAAAAAACAAAAGAACATGATTTCCTATATTCTCTATTATACCTGCTACAACACCGTCCAAATTATTTACATTTAAACTTGCGTACAGGTCTTAAATAAATAGCAACAAATACACGCAGCGCATGCCGTGTCGTAAGAGTCAGCGATGTACAAAACTAATAACACGAAAAAGAAAAGCCAAATTTTCTTAATGCACATGATTGAATAAATATATAAGATTTGTTTCACGTTCAAATAGCAATAAAATTATCATAAGTCATACAATATTGCAATACTTTTAATCATTGATATCTACTCGCCATACGATTAGAAACATCGTAATTAGAAATCTCGCGTGTCCACGTTATCTACATAATACTTTAGATGCTTAATTTCGCGAGTTATACAAGAGGCGGATCCTTCTGCTCATCTTTTCCATCCATCTCTTCAACAGTCATATAAAGGCCTTCTTCTTCGTACGTTGATTCATGCTTCGCCAATACCTTCAGCAAAGGACGTAGTTTCATCCACCATTGATACATCGGAATGCGATGCCTAACAATTGTTATTGAATATTACGTTGCAGGTCGAGTAAACTAAAATGACTCGTTGGAAAATTCCAATAGAATACATACTCAAAATCAGTAGCTTCCATAAGTTCCGTGAATGGTGTAAATCTATATTGACGTTTAATAATACCGAGCATTACTGCGCTGTTCACCGCTGTAGTGACCGTTTTGCCATCAGGACTAGTACATTTTCTTAATTGATCGCTGAACCATTCCACCGCCTTAGAGCCCATCTTTGTTCCCAAGTTACGATCGAAAGGCGTCGGTGAGCCACCTTGTTGCATATGACCTAAAATTCAAAAAAATATTTAACAATAACGAAAGACAACCCTACGTTAACTTTTGCGTGTTTAGGTATAATATTCGAGATAATAATTAAAAGAAAAGACGCATATCGGGAAGATGCATACCGAGTATGTTTCTCCTACAACTGAATAAACCCTTTCCTTCCTCGCTGAAAAGTCTATACATAAATTCTGTATTGTAATTTTCATTGGCGTTTTCATTCCTGATAATGAGACCTCTCTCGACACCCTCCGACATCTTTGCCGCCATCGAAATGACATCTTGATTCAAATCTTTAATGTTAAATTTCTCCTCATAGATATACGCCGCATCTGCACCACCAGCTAGACCAGCGACGGTCGCTAAGTATCCGCAAAAACCGCCCATCGTTTCGATGATAAACACACGGCGCTTAGTACCTTGCGCCGATTGCCGAATACGATCGCAGATCTGATAGGAAAAATAACCAATTACTCTAGTATTAATTCTTAAATTAAGTCACATCTATAAATGGATCGTATAATATTTACCTCTGTAATTTCATTCAACGCTGTATCACAACCCAATGAAAATTCAGTGCCCGGTACATTATTGCTGATAGTTGCAGGAATCATAGCGATAGGAATCTGGAACTCCTCGAATTTATTTCTCGCTTTGTAAAATGTGAGACAAGTTTGAAAACCCTGAAAATAAAGTATGTTTTATCAAAACTGGCGCCCCTTCGCGCAAATGAGCGAGGCTCGAAGAACTTGTTTACCTCAAATCCACCTATAATGAGCAACGCTTGAATTCCAAATTCCTTCAGTTTCTGAGCGATTTGGGGTAACTGATCTTCCTGAGGTGGTGAGCGTTTCGTTCCCAATTTTGCGCCGCCTTCCGCAACCCAGCCAGTGACAGACGGCCAATCCATTAATTTTAATCTACCGGCCATGAGACCCAACACTCCGTCGCAGATACCGTACACCTATACATCGAGATACAGAATTAACTGCAACAAAGATACAAGATTGCGAATGCTTTGTTGCACATTATACCTTATCGCCTCGATAAATACAATTTCTCACGAAGGAACGAACTGCTGCATTCATGCCGCAAGACGGTGATCCTATATGCATAACCGCCAACGTATAATTATCCTGTAACAAAACTGTAATTTATTAACGCAATAACAATCGATTATTGCGCACCATGCAACGTGTATGGAGAACTGAACGATTGCTTTCCATGCACAACGCTTTCGTTAAATGCTTCTCTTGTGAAAGCGATCATCAAGTATGAAAAATGACATGTATTTTTCTAATACAAGGCATACATTCTCTACTCTACAAAGACGTGGGTTAACTCACTTGTCCACATAAAGTGTATTGCTATGGAAGAAAAAGAAATACTGTTGTAGGAAAGATGCGTTTGGCATTGGTATTATATACGATATTTGCGAAAACAACGCTTATAAAATTTTTACAGAAACTGATTTACCTTCGATAATGTACGGCCATTAACTTCCTGAAGCAGTATTAAATAACATATGTAATAATCTACTTGTGCAATGTCATTTTATATATCAAAAACCCAATATTTTAATAGTTTATTAAAGCTTTTTTTATCTTTTATATTTCAAAATATGAAATAGATTTATACTACATAATATTATAGAATTGCGTTTTCGAGTCTAAAATTGGGTTTTTAAGTCTGAATAAACTTAAACATAAGCGGAAAATGATTATACCTTATTTACATCGTGATCTAAATCTGGAGCTTTCAAACGAGTCAACATTTTGTAAGTTTCCAAATTTCGTTCAAATCCCCTAAAAAATGTATGTGAGTGCATTTCATATTTCGCATACAGGAATATGTAAAATATTTTATCGATTTAGGTACTCACTTTCCTCGCAGTTGAACGGCAAGATCCCAATTCTTATTAGCCATAGCTTGCGCCACAGCTTGCGTACGACGCACACATTCCATAAGTGGCAATCTCACAGCTTGGTTACCGTCCAATGTAACGACACATGCTTCTGTGTCAAATGTTGCTTCCATTAAAGCCATCACAGCTTCAGCTCCCATCCGGCACCCCTGTAACAATTTATTAGTCAAAAATATATATGCAACTTTATATAAGAAACAATACGCAACTAAAAGCGTATATAAATCTTGTAAAATTCAAGATTACATATTAAAAATAATATGTACACATATTATATTTAAAATAATATTAAGAATCGTAAATTACAGAAATCTTACCAAAACTCTATCAAAAGCTGAAGCGTTGCCACCTCTTTGTACATGACCTAAAACGGTAACTCTCGTATCCTGCTGTAATTTGTCCACGACTACTTTGTGCACTTTCTCAGCAGTAATCGGATCGCCATTTCTGTCGACAGCTCCCTCAGCCACAATAATAATATTAAGCCGTTGACCAGTAAGTCTTTCCTGAAAAGAAAGTTCTACATAGTAATAAAAATCAGTAGAGAGAAAAATTAAAATTTGTCTTCGATTGATCTAAAAGCAGGCTAAAAAACAAAAAATAAAAGTAATAAAAAATTAAAGACAATCGTACAATATGCAACATATAAATTAACAATGACATAGAAAAAAATATTATACAGGGTGTCCCATTTTAATTGGCCACCTCTGTTAACTTCGCAGGAAATGATCAGATCAAAAAATATTCTCTACAAAAGTTGTGTGGTTTGGAGGGAGACATCCGATGGTGACATTGATTTAACCTAGGGTGTACGTGCCAAGGTCATACGTGGAGGTCAACTTTGTTTTTTTTAATGGAACATTTTTGATTCTAGAATCTAATAGCCGGTGTCAAGAGCTTTTCAAAACACTATAATGAAGTATTTTTCATTAAGTACTTTTCGAGTTATGAGGCTTGAAAGTTACAGTATTTTGACATAAAATATAAAATATCTTGTAAAACATTCAGTTTTCAGGAATCTTACCTTAATACTTTTATGTGCAAAATAATGAGACGAATCAATTGGTATAAAGAAAACACATAGTTGCTTTTAAAAAAAAGTATGCAGCTGCATGTTGCAAATTACATGTTTTCTTAAAAAAAAAAATTACATATTTTTCTTAAAAAAACTAAGTTGACCTCCATATGACCTTGGCATGTACATCCTAGGTTAAACCAATGTCACCATCGGATGTCTCTCTCCAAACCCAACAACTTTTGTAGAAAATATTTTTTTATCTGATCATTTCCTGCGAAGTTAACAGGGATGGTCAATTAAAATGGGACACCCTATATACATATTTATATACAACTTACTCTAATTCTCTTAATATCTTATGTAAGAGTATTATATAATGCTGCCACGCACATAACAATATTTTTTTAATATTATGTGTGTTCGCAGCACTCTATTGTAGTAACACTCTATATAAAAAATATTAAAAGAATCCCATAAGATATTTTTTAGGTTGCTGCAGCATGCATTCGATTAGCTTTACAGAATAATGTTATATTTTTCCTACATCGAATGCGAAAGTGTTTCCAAAGCATGTCGCAGATAAGTTACATAAGCACAAAAAGTAATCGAATAAAACATAAGCAATTAAAATAATAGTAAATTACAAAAAATAACGCATTGATTTGCAGGTTGCATAAGTCAGATATACATACATTTATATACATATATATATCTGAAGTGTGCTTAAAAAATTAAAAAAAAATTAATCGAACCTGCAATAATTTTTTGCACAGCTTGTTGGGCCACTCTTGCTCGGGTGGCCATTCTGGGATGAAAACATAATCAGCTTCGCAACATATAGCTGCCACCAGAGCCAGATAACTGTAATAGTATATTGTAAACCTAACTAAAATCCTCTGCTTCAATGCAACATTTAAAATATTGTATAAAATAATATATCATCAATCATATAATTGTGTAATTTTGAAAAAAGCTATGCTCGATCAAAATAAAAGCCAAGTAAAAAGTAAGATTTGTAATAAATTTTCGCGCAATATAAGTGTTAATAGGAATAGTACGAACCGAGTAAATTTTACATGTACAAAATGTAATTTGATTGTAATCAATTATTTCAGAGAGAAGTCATATTGCATTTAAAAGTGCAAAAATAAATGTCCATCTTTTGAGTATTTCCATATTTTTGTAAACTAGTATTATTCCGAATATGCGTTAACAGTAATAATAATTTGAAGTAACGACTGGTTGAGAAACGTGCCTGTCGCACAGCTTGACAAAGCTCTTCGACCCAGTCACCACTTGTCGGAGATTCGGGAATAAAGGAATAGCAGGCTTCGGAAGATAAACTTGACATTAATGTCAGGTATCTGAAAGACTTTGTCATCTAATTATCTTCGGTAACAACAAAACATATGGCTATATATGTATGGTATATGTATAGCTATATATTCATTAATGCGCAACAAGTATAAGCAAAAGTATAAACACATTTCTCGTTCACATTCCTCTTTGTGTCGTCATTCAGAGGAAACAGATATGCATTCAGAATGTCTTATGATTCAATATTAATTCAAAACATATTCAGCAACAAAAGAAAACTGACATATACTGACATATATAATAAAAAAAAACAACAGTTCTCATATTTAGTCAAGTTAGTAAAAATTAGCAATGCAATCTATAAAATTTGGAAAAATCTATTAGACGTGCCTGCTCCAATTTTTTACATAATTTTTCAGGCCAGTCGACGGGAGGCGGACATTCTGGGAAGAAAACATAGTCGGCCTCCGCAGCTAAAGCACCCACGATAGCCAGATACCTAGCCGAAAGTCACTCATTTATCTATATTTATTATTTAAATTCACTTATAGAGTCAACATCGTTTCGGCATTATAAAAGTTAGCAAGATTAATATTTGTATATCAATCTCACCAAATCTCTTGTAATTGAAATCTACCACGAATCACGCGCCATGATTCTATGTTGAGAAACTAACACTTGATAATTATATAACGGTATAATTTAAAATAAGTATTGAATTACTCTTTAAAATCAAGATTGCGAACTGTACTTACCCACAATGACGACCCATAACTTCCATTATAAATGTTCTCTGATGAGAATAAGCTGTACTAACTATAGCATCTATACTTTCAATGATACGATGCAACGCGGAGTCGGTACCGATCGTCATATCCGTACCGCAGAAATCGTTGTCAATGGAACCTACTAGACCGACAATATGCAACTGCTTATTCTTCTCGCTCTGTTCGGCAGTTATGTCCCCTAATGAAAGATAACGTTAGTCTCGAGCATCCTAATGCACTATTGAGATAAAATAAACATTTCCTATTTACCAGACGCAACCAGTTCTTTCAACAGCTCCGGCCATTCTTCCTTGAAGAGATTGGCGCCCGTGAGGGAACCGTCTCCACCGATCACTACTAAATTAGGTATGCCAAGATTGACCAAGTTTTTAGCAGCTTTTCGACGACCCGGGCGCTCTCTGAATTCTTGGCATCGAGCGGAGCCTATCACTGTGCCACCCTGAAAAAGAAAAAAGAATACAATATGTAAATAATGCATGAACAAGTAGTGATGCAACATTTTCATCAATTTTATGATACATACTCTATGAATGATGCAAGATACAGATGACCATGTAGCTTCTTCAATGTGTTTTCCACCGTCTACCATGCCTTGATAACCTTCCCGAATAAAATACACTCTGCATCCAAGATAAATACCCATCCGTACAACTGCCCGTACAGCAGCATTCATTCCTAAATAATGAGGTAACAAAAGTTAAGTATAATTTATTTAATTATGTTTTATTTCAAAATAAAATATGTAATTTATTAAATTATTTGACATACCTTGAGAATCACCTCCGCTGGTGAACACAGCAATCCCTTTGCCCTTGTGGCTCCCAGGTCTTATGAATTTTTGAGTTAGTGCGTCTTCAGCCATGATTGTACGATGATATTCCTTAAACCTCTGTAATATAAAAAATTACATATAAAGTTTTATCACATTAATATTATTGAGAAATTAAATTTGCTATTCCTTCATTTTTGTATGCTTTCCCGTGTTATTTGATTAGTGATTCTAATAATTACCATAATAATATAAAAATTTCTTGTTTTACTAGTATTTGTTTAACATAAGTATAAAGATATCAATAAATTATATTAAAAAAAACAGTATCATAACTTTTTGTCTCATAAATTGTGGGAAACGCAAACTTCTGGCAAATTCTTCCTCAAATGTGTCAAATCTTATCTCGAACGAAGAACCACTTGGTAAGTTTTCAACTGATTCAATATTATTTCTCCAGAACATCTAATCAAAATTCAAATTTTAATGTTTATTTTACATAAATTTCTAGTAAAAAATAAAAGGAAAAACTTTGTGTATAACATTGTAAGTATTAACATCACAAACGTTAACACAAGTGTCACTTGTAACAAGCTTGCCTCTGGAAATATTGAGGAAAGCTTTAAATTTTGCATACTGATCCTGTTTATTTTATCGACATCAGTCTTCTTCAATGCTTCAACAGCAATAGATTGTCTCGACATGTCTCTACATGTAATGTATTGTGATGAATATTTAGTTTCAATAGAGTCGGTTAAATTTAAATCTGTTTGAATTTCTACAGTGCTTTCATGTGTATCTGAAACATCATCCAAATTATTATCACTCCCTCCATAAGATTCCAAATCATTTTTGCCTGCACAGAGACACTGAACAAATTCATAATTTTTAGACATCTTTCTGCAGAAGGTATATTCAGTTTTATATTGTTATGATAACTTTTATACTGATCAATATATAAATTTTAACCTTAATTTAATAAACTCAAGTGGTATATGTATATACATATGTATGTGCAAATATTATATTCTAAATTCACTTCATTGCAAAAAAAAAAAATGAAGTGTATGTACACACGGTCACAGGAATGCCTTAACACATGAACTTGCACGAATGTGAATTTCACAAGCCAATTCAAATGTGCCTTGACACTCGTTGACCGTGTCAATTGCACAAAAAAATATCATTTACTATTTTTATACTTATACTGTTACTTGTACTATTACTATTACTGATTACAAGTAAATTATTAAACCTCTTTATTAACTCTTAATTCAATCTTTTTTTATTCACAAATTTATTGGATTATGTATATTCTGCTGTGCGGACAATAATAAATGTGAGATAATACATCATTAAAACAGAGGGAATAGCAATTAAAAATATGCGAAATCCATTAAAAACAAACAAATGTGAGATATTTTGTTGTAATATACGATTCGCAAAAGAATTATTCAAATTTCATATAAATGTTGAAATTATTTGCATCTTAAAATTAAGTAATACATGGCGTGAACGATATTTGGCTGCGTTTCAAAATGTGAAGAAGCGTCCACAATTTATATATATAACTACACAATTATTGCCAGTTGTATCACCAGAGTTTTTTTTTGTAACGAGACATTCTAATTTATATTCGACGACAGGCAACGACGTGTCTCGCGAATCATTCGCGTAAATATCTTTGCAGTTCTTGTGAAAAAATATGTGTCGCGCGATTGCAGCGACCAATGTCAAATCCAAAAATTTTACGACGAACATCTTGATTGTGAACTTCTATATACAATCTTGACATTCCTTTGATCTTGCTCGTAAATTCCAATGAAACGCAACAGCGGTAACCGTGTATTGCGCGTATCGAGAGAAAAAATTGCATCTTTACACGCAAACACATTATTACAATATTATTATGATATGCATACTTTACACATAAAAGATATTTTGAGTGTACTTTTAATTAAAATTTTCCATACTGTTTTAATTAAACGATAGAGATACCAAACAATCAATTGTTCAAAAGTGACTACGATTTGTACGATTTTGCTTTGTTATGCAAATGTTATATACCAAATCAAAGTTCCATTCGTGCTATTTATAGACATGAACTGTCAGACATTATTTTCTCAATCGATTGACTGTAATTGCTCTATAAGACGTGGCGAAGACGCGGTGAATTTCAACTTACCCGCGAAAAGTTAACCTAAACGCATCTTCAGATCATTTAAAAACACCATTAAGTAAATGTCATTAATAAACAAGTCGGCGAAAATATCAGTCGAGCATCAAGCAAATCAATTTTCAGAGCAATGCTATCGTGGATCATTGATATGCACTTTAAAGAATCAATTGACAGTCGCACGCAGGTGCAAGTACACGAAACCAAAGGTCGCGAAATCAACGATGAGCGTCGGTGCATCACGCGCTCACAGATAACGTTAATCAAGTATTGTAATCGATAATAAGTAATTTGACTCACCAGACAGTGACAATTGCGACGACGATACCCCTACGCTTTCAATGTTTCTGTAACGAACACTATGATCACCACACTGTTCAGCCGACTGAAGGTGACCTTTGTGCCACTGTTGGGTGACGGAGGGATAGATCCCACCAAGCTGACCAAATCCTTTTGGTGCGCATGATAAGTACGTCATCAACCACGTGACTGTCTTCATCATAAACTCTTGTTTAAATGTGTACTAAACGTACTTTTCCATATGAACCAAGCATAAGACCGCGAGAAGACGAAGAGAGCAGCAGATTAGTTGTGTCTCATTTCTTCGTACGTGATACATTACGCAAATCTGCAATGCTATCAAAAATAGACTTTCGATACCTATGAAAAAAGATACAAAACATGTTGCTTACTTCGTCTGACAGCAGGCCATACGTATGAAGAAAATAAATTCGAATAAAAATTAATATTTATTTTAATAAAATAACAATGCAAATTGAAAATTTTTCTTTAATTTTTTTAGTGTAAAATAATTTCTAAAATATCTTTAGAAAATAATAACCATGCTTCCTACGGATCCAGATAATCAAATGTTAATAATGTTGCAGATTTATAGTAAATTTGATTAAATTTGTTAACTGCTAACATTTTGTTTATTAGAAACTTTGTACTTGCCGTAATTCGTTTTCTCTTCCAGGCAAATTATTGAATATTTCTCTCTTGCTTTTCTCAATTATATATTAATTAATAATTCAATAAATAAGAGGGAAACAATTGACATGTAATTTATTGAGAATAAAAACAAAGCATCATACATACGAACTCCATAGAAAGCGTTAATCATTATTATTTATTAAAAATATTTTAAAAATTATTTTATGTTATATTAACACAGAAATTAATAGAATAAGTCATTATTTTTACAATTGTTTAGATTTAGCTTTATCATACCTATTGATGTAAATCAAAATTAGTATTATTCGCATTATACTATAAAATTATTATTAAACGTATCAATTAATAATATTATAAAATATTTTATGATATTTTATTTAATGATGAGAAACACAAATGGCGTGTCTAAAATGCACTGTGGATTACCGATGAATTTTCTCCCATTGCACCAAACGTGTGTCTTTTTCAAAGTGCCGAGAGAGGGACAGTTTTTACTTTAAAAATCTTCTTCCATGAAAGAAAAGGTTTTGAATAAATATAATAAGACTACGCCCGCTTTTATCGCTTTTACAGCTTTATTTACAAACATCATCCCACCAAATCAGCGTCGTCTTTTTTCTTTGTTAATCCATTTAACGTGTAATATACTCGATTGAAACGGCATTGATCTATATCAATTAATGAAGAGATGGAGGAGTAGATAAGAGAGGGGATTGCAGATTGATAGCTAAAAAGAGGCTACAATCTTAAAAGAGCGAAACTGAGAAAAGTTTTTCTTCTAGCTGGATTTATGCGACGATTAAATCGAAGGATATATATATATATATATGTATATATATATCGTTTGATCGCAAGAAAAATATTGCGAAAAAACAAAAATTAAGCAAGTTATGACAAAATACTTAATTGGAGCAATCAAAATATACAATTTAATCATTGTTAGAGAAAGATTAGCTCAGGATTGCTACAGAAGGATTTGTTCGATGAAAACTAAAAGCGAATTGATGTGACATTGCATGAAAAATGCATAAACATATCATAAATATAACATTTCATAAATATTATGTCAACGTGATGCAATCTAACATAATTTCAGATATGTTTTTGAAAATAATTATATAAAAATGTTAAAATTAAAAAACAAAATTTACTAATTATCAATTATTAAAATTTAGACTTGCGTGCGTATAATATATACGTACAGAAAAATCATTCAATGACATTTCTAATGTAAAGAGTATCATATTATTCTTTATATTAGATATGTAATTAATAAATTTTTCTGCTCATATGTATTATGCGGCTATACAAGTTTATAGTTGTATAAATTTTCTTTCTCTGTCAATATTATAGACAACTATAATCCGAATAAAAAAAATAAAAAAAGTTAAAATTTCCAGATTTATTAATCGTAAAAACATAAGTATATCAAAAGTTCACAACAAATCGACAAATTTCCGAAATCAATCTCATCAAAGTCTAAAGAAGAAATTCCTTCGAATTTTGTCGCTGGTATTCTTAGGATTATTTATGCGGGAGCTGCTCTACAATGGTATATTCTACACTTAACGCGGAGATCCTCAACCTCGTCCTGGATGCGACAAGTTCTATTTTCACAGGCGAAGAACTCTCCCTTTCTCTCTTGTGCGCGCGCGCTTTCTTTCTCTCTCAAGTTTCAACCCTCAGTCATTCGTTTTTTCATCCCTCGATCATTCTTCTGAACGACTTCTCGTCGAAAGTGTCACGACGCGCAAGTTGAAACTCGCTGGATCTACTAATATCTATCTAATCTCGCCACAAAAGACTCTGTTTATGATTCATGTAAAATACCGGGTGAATAATTCTCTCGCTTACTCTCATGCGTATTTTAAAATTTTTTCGTGAGTAACTTTTTTTTTTTTTACCTCCGCATGACATTTTGCGTCTCGTCACTCGCATTAAATAATATCTAGTGTAATTCGCTATTCTCATTAGCAAAAACCATATTTCATATTCCACATCGGCTACACGTATAAATGGTGCAAAAAATTTAGCATGATTAATCGTAGATAGGCCCTTCTGTTGGAAAAGGCACGCGTACATATACATATATATACATTTTATCGTATTTTTACCATGTATCTCTCTGGTGTATGCATATACATATGTATGTATATATACATAATGCATAAGTCATGTATACAAGTATATGTGTGTAGATATACCATCGATAAGAAAAATGGGAGAATGGACATGGAAGAGAGTAAAATAGGGCGAAATGGGGTGAAAGAGAAGGGAATACATCTAACACAACGATACCCATAATAGCAATCATAATAAATATTTTTTTGCGTTTTAAGTACATGAAAAAGTCTATGCAGCTCCTGCGTGCTCTCGATATATTGCTAGACTAACTATGTCAAACAACATATCGTCCTTACATGAATATTCTCCCATCGGACTTTATATCCTTTTTCTTTTTCTCTCTTTCTTTCTTTTTTCTTTTTACATTGATGCAGCTATTACAGTTTCGTCATCGCCCAAGCTGTTGTAAAAGGACCAACTCGTTTTGCATGTTGATCATAAAAGACTCGTTAAAATTATGATAGATGCTAAGTACAAAAAAAAAAGAGTAATAATATATCAACATTATTTATGAAATCAAATTAAAATGTAAGTAAGATTTTAATCGTATGACAAATTAAACCAAAAATATGTGAACATTTAATGTGAACACAACGCATTCTGTCCAAAAATATCTCTAGAAAATGCGGATAATAAATACAGACATTGATATATACAGTAATCATATCTAGATATTTGTGCATCATAACTCAGAATATGATCATTAGTTTGACATGTGCGAGAGAAAATAAAATCAGAAAGAAATAGATAACGTTTCGTACGATATTAATGAAAAAAATGTAATTTGGAATTTTTCAATCATCATAATGCATGAATATCCAGACACAACACATACGCCTGGAGTACCCTAAATGTGCATAACTTTACGTTGAAGCTTCGTATCGGATGATGTATATACAAGACAAAAATGAACGAGTAATTATCCTGTAAATAATATTATCAGTATATTACATGTTTCACGTTTACTTAGAAAAATGAGAAATTGTCGGTGAACGATATTCTCTCAACAAGCTTCTTTAAAAACCGTAAAATGTGTAATTTCAAAGTGTGTCGCGAATCGTGGATCCCGAACTCGAGGAAACGGCCATTCCGATCCAATGAGATTTTGTTGACAACTAGACGATTGCAGGAATCCTCTTAAAGAATGTTTCGTACTAAAGTCCATTAATTATGTTAATAAAGCATAATCGGCACTTCTCTGTCCCGGGACGTTATTCGCCATGTGCAAATATTTCCTCCGAGACACAATGGCATTGTCGATGCAAAGCAAAATACAATCGTGGGGTATGGTTTTTCTCAGACATTTTATCAGAATTTATTATTTCGTGTAAACGTTTATAATAATTATAATTTACAATTACGATGGGCTCATGATAAATACAAATAGATCAACGTAATTTGGGACGGGGAGAAAAGGGAAGAGGAACGTGGGAGGAAAGGGGAAAAGAATGAATGGTAGAAGGAAAACGGTAAGTGGATAGATAGATAGATAGATGCAATTTTCTATGTGCGAAGAGCAGGACCAAGGTTGAAAGGTTATTCAATGGGTAAATCACATAAATTCATGTGACTGAACATGTACTGATATAATGAAGAGACGCATCGTCGGCGCTCCTCTCGCAATCGTGTCGACGTACATATTCGCGCTACAGACGTGGTCGACGCTTTCAATTGCTGTTAAAACAACTCGCGTGTGATTCAACAAGATTTGAATAAATCAAGAAAGAAAAAAAGGAAAAGGAAATTCGGATCGAGAAGATTAGAGATGAGAAGAAAATCGGAGAAATTATGTACCAACAAGCCGCTGATGCTGATAATGATAATAATGATAATAATGATTATGATGATGATGATGATAATGATGATGATGGATGATGATTATGATGGTGATGGTGATGGTGATGTTGATGTTGATGACGATGAGACGATTGTAATAATGATATCGGCAACGATAAAGATGATAATTATGATGATGTCTCTCCCGATCGAATAAAGTCACTGCTAAAGTTATTAAAAAAACATAACGTTTATTTTGGAAAATTTATAATACCCAGAAAATGAAAAGAACACAACATGTTAAACGTTTGGTTGTTGAATTAGAGAGATGGGCAGTTGGGGTTCACGGACAAAGTTAGATTGAGGAAAATATTTATAAGAAGCAGAAAAGAGCGGAAAAAAAAGGAAGAGGTGGAAAAAGAAAAATGTTACATTTGAGAATGGCCCACTGCGCGAGATCGACAATACTATCTTCCGATGGTAGTCTTCGTATCCTGCCACTTGCGATCATACACGCACACACATACACACACAACACACACGCCTGGTCCCGCCCAGCTGGCTCTCGTTGAACGTGCATCGAAGACTCAATGAAAGAGGAGGAGGGTAAGGTTCAAGTAATGATACCTGTCTGCATTTCTCATCGTTCGACTCTTCGGCCTTGGGTCTCTCTTGCTATAGTAAATATCGAGACAAAACGAAATGCAAGAACGAGGAATACAGACAAGAAGTGAAAATCAAGATATTGCGGATATATCTCATTTCCAATCAATCGTAATTTTTGCATATGAGATCACTCGTTTTCTGATCGGTTGCTTCTTACGCGGTTCTTCTCTTATACTAGTAACATTAATTTTATTTCTGTATCTTATCTTTACTTCTCACTTCGTCTCGATCTCAAAAAGCTCTATCCGCAATGGAGCAGCGAGTCGCAGATCGCAGGATGCTTCAGATTCGATTTCCGATGTCCTGCATCCTCCATTGAGATCAAAGCGGAAACAATGTCGACGAGTAAGTTGCAACAAGGCTTCAATTACACACGCTACATTCTCGGTCGAGGGAGGAGGAGATGGGCGGGAGAGGGTCGACTCGAATGTGTCTTTGCTCATCGTCTCTCCAATTTCGCGTGTTTCATTCTCATTTCTTTTCTTTTTCCCCGGTTTGATTTGTTTTTTCCCCTCCTTTGCAACCAAAGTGTTCCCGCGCATCTTTCCTTCCCGGCGATTTCGGACCATCTTGTCGCGAAAAAGACATCGATTATACATCGAGAAATATCAACATGACAATAGGAAAACGTTTACCCATTTACGTGCAATTAGAGCGTCTAACTTGCTGAACTTTGCTGTCTCTCATAGCAATATTACATATGCATGGTATATGTGTGTTTGTGTATATATATGATGTTAGCATGCGCGCGTATATACACATTCTTAATTATACATATATATACGAGAAGAGTGTGAACATTCAGTTCCGTATTTCTTTCTTTTTCTCTCTCTCTTCGTGTCGGATGAGCGTGCTTGCACAGATCTTCGAGCTCCCATTAACCTTATACGCTTTTTCCTCAACATGGAATAAACACTTTCAAATTCAGTTGATACATCAGGTGTCAATAATTTCTTACGCTTTCGGTTCAAGACTTTTCGGGCCGTGCGCGTCCAGATACCTGTTATCATCTGACACGGTATTATGTTTGATATTTTGATATATCTATGCGTTTGACATCTGTGAAAGGCTAAATGTTAAAATATTAACAATAAAATTGTAGTTTTACATTTTTATCAACAATTATGATGCACAAATATCCAGATACAATGCGTTTGACCCGACAAGTTTTCTAAATCGCAAGCCTAACGAGGCATTATTGACGCCTGGCGTAATACATAACACACAATCCCTTCCGCGAATTAAAAATGAACATCGCACAGGACCAAAGTAAATGACTGCGTTCCGAAATTTACTGCCAGTACTAAGAATCTACAACATACGTGACGTAAACTATAGATTTTTAGTACTGGTAGTGAATTTCGGAACACAGCCAATATATGATTATATGTCTATATATGTATGTATGTGCGTACGATTTGTTCTCTCTCCGTTCTTCTCGACCGCGATACAATTTTATTAAGAGTAAGTAGTAAATATATCTGTAGCGTATATATTATAATCGCGTATAGTGGAGAGAGAGGGAGAGAGAAAAACGAGGATCGGTCGAACAATAGAGTGTGCTAGAGGAAGTCAAGGTCCAGACGTCAGGATCGAGATATACAGCTTCGTAATGATGCGTCATACGTGTGTAATCTCCGCGCTCGACAGTGATAATGGAAATCGAATGAATTCTTCCACATTCCACCTCCATCGATCACGCGAAACTAGGGGAGCGTATGTGAACGATGACGAACAGAACAATGACCAGAAACGTGCTCTTTTCTTTTCCCTCTCTGCGTCACAATTATACGACCAATGAGAATGTAATATGCAATAGTTATTGACGATCGCGTGCGCGCGAGTGAAAAACCGAGCGCGCTCGTTCGTCGCCTCCAAATCTGATCAAATTCAATTTTTTTTCCTCTTGCCGCTTTTACATTGCAGATAGAATCATGTTACGTGGAAAAAAAAAGAGTCACATTTCGGTTAAATCCCTGGTCGCGATTCCGGGCATTGGTAAATTCACGAAAGCAACCGCGACGTTTCGGTCGTGGCGAACGGAGAAGTTTGCATGAGAAGAGATATACCGAGTCGCATGCGGTGTGCAAGATTGTGATGGCTATAGGATAATTATAGGACCGCTGGAGATGGGATAAAAAAAAGAAATAAAAAAAAAGAGAGAAGTCAAATGGCAAGAGTGTGAAAATCAAGTCACCATTAATATCGTTTTGGAACTTAATAACTTAATGTATTTGTTTTTACTTTTCTTTCTCCTCCTGCGTTCTTCCCTTTGTATAATAATATTCGTACTTGCTAGACAATGTGAAATTTAATTTAAATGACAACTGGATATAATGTAATAGATTCATGCGTGCTTTTTGTTTCTTCGCTTCTTCTCGTACCTCCGCTATTTCTTTTCGTCTGGATTTTGTTTTCTCTTTCGTTCTAGCTCTATAGTCTGTTTCTTTAGATGGTAAGCAGCGAGCAGATTCTGCGAGTAATGACAGCAGGTTGTCCTCTGCATTCCGTGTCTCGTCCCAACGTGATTCACTCTTTAGTATATCATTCTTTTGTTTTCTACTAGCAAAGCCGAATAATCTAGCGCTTCCTTTTTTTTCTACGATGTGTGCGTTACCGTGAAGGTCACTCGTGCATCGGCAGCATCGCGCGACGATGCACGCGTCGACGAGACAGGGTATGCGAAGGAGAGGCGAGTGTGTACCTCCTCCTGTCCTTTCCTCTGTTCATCCACAATTCGCTCCTTCCTATATTCCACCGGAACAATACGGTAATGAGTGGATCAATATGGATTTCTTTTGCTTGAGAAACGTTTGTGCCAGAGAGACCGAATGTGATCCACGCGTCTCGACCATCCCCCTCCTCACCGATGATGGCCGATGTACGTGAATATTTTACTCGATGCTTCACAATTAATATTTTAGCCTCTTCGTTTATTCTGGATATCGCGACGAGGTTCCAATTTTATGTATAGATTTTCCAAATTATTTTTCACTTGCCATCATCCGTGAGCGGAGAGATATGGAGTCGAGCATGGGTGGGTGGCACGAGTACTCTTAGCACGTTCGACTTTTTCGAACTGGGCGTAACAGCTGTGGCGGTGGCATCGGCAGCAGTGTGCGGTCGTGTCAGGATAAAGAAAGAAAGAAAGAGAAAAAAGAAAGGTGAGAAGGATCAGTTTGTTTTGTTTTCGAGGAGAGATGTGTAAGGAAAAGAGAGATCTGCGATTGAAAAGAAGAAAGGAAAGAAGGAAACGAGGTACGCGAGGGACGAGAGGACAGGTGGACATGGATGGATGAATCTGGGTGGATGAAAATATAGGTGAGCACTTCAGGGGGGGACGGGGAGACGATAGAGAATAGGATGTTCTTATTAGGTTTAGAAAGGACTTAAGTTTAGGAAGGTTAGTTGTCGCCGCCTTCCTGTGGCTCGTCCCCATCACCCTGCGTATCACTGGTCCACAGAGTGAGGTTGTCGCGCAGCAACTGCATGATCAGCGTGGAATCTTTGTAGCTGTCCTCGTTAAGTGTGTCCAGTTCTGCGATCGCGTCGTCGAACGCCTGCAAAGGTCATTTATCTGTGTCAGAGATCTTTTTCCTTCAGCTTCTTTTTTATTACATCATTTTTTCCCTACTTCTTAACATTAATGTTCTTCAATATCAATAATTTAATCTCTATATCCAATAAAGAAATAATCACACTTGGAAATATGTTTGTATTTCCAAGTGGACAAATAAAAATCAAACTATCTACTTGCAAACAAATTATATAAATTTTCTCAAATTCAATGTAATCTACATTCACAAATTATTATTTAATATTAGATTTACAAGTAAAGAGTGATGCGAGATGGTTAGTGTGGTACCAGTGGAGATATCAGTTTATTAATTATTACAAATGTATTAGCAAAAAATTTGAAGATGGTTAAACGGCATTCACACAAAAATTCATTAATTAATACTGTTAGGATTAAATCAAACTGATTACAAGGAGATATAAAAAGGATAAATTCACTCTTGCAAGACAAGAATTAGCACAGGAGAGAAAAGTCTTTATTCGGTATAAGACTGTTGATCTCATTTAAATCTATTGTAAAATCAAGACAAATATGTGTTTTTCTAACATCCAATTCGAAAAAAAGTGAGATTTAACATTTTCTATCTTTTCAACCGAAAGCTTTCAAAAAAACATACGTCTAGCTTTCTATATTTTTTATCAGCAGTCTTGTCGCATACCGATTCAATGACAGAGAGCACTATCATTATGCGTTGAAACGCATATAACAGCGAATTTATTAGAAAAAACTTGGACGCAGAAGCGCAAATCTTTCACAATCCTCCTTCTAACCTGCTTGGCCAGGTGACAGGCCCTAGACGGGGAATTAATAATTTCGTAATAAAAAACGGAGAAGTTGAGGGCAAGGCCGAGTCTGATCGGGTGCGTAGGCTGCATTTTCGCCTTCGCAATGTCAAACGCCTCCTGGTACGCCTTCTGCGAGTCTTCGACTACCGCTGCAAATGCAAATCAACCTCTATTCAGAATACACCTTCCACGACCTCATTTTTACGCCATTGAAGTAATAAATCGCTGTTGTCAGGACGGGAAAAGGAAAAAGATGGAGGAAAAAGACAAACAAAAGCCGAGTAAATGGAGGGAATACGCAACCGAGTTTCGTCGATTCCTCTTGCATCTATCCTACAAAAACTATGTGCGCAGTTTTACTTGGCACACATTCGGCCTTGAATGGACCGAGTCCATAAAATGTGATCTGCATCTCTATCTTAAATCATCATACGCATAAGTCAAATCAGTAATATATCGACAATAAAAACAAACACTTTTCTCGCGCATCAGGCAATATGTACCACTGAATGCATCTGATAAATGCAAATTCACACTAACAAAATAATTTCAGGTAATTCGATGAGTTTACAATTTCTCACGTTTCTTTATCTAAAAAAAGCGTAATTGTTAATTTAAAACCAGACTTTAATGTTATATTTTAATCGTACTGTTTTTTGAAAAAATACCTTTTATATGCAATTGTTAAAAAGCTAAATAAAATAAAAACAAATATCATCAAATTTTAATTATTCCGTATGAAATATCCGATAAATTATTAACAACATACTTTCAACAAATTTGCGTGTATATCGTCTGTCAGTTTCTTCATTTATAATCAAGTTGTACTTTTTACATAGATTTCCGGAATTGCATTTTAATTCTTCTATTTACAATTATAATTATTCGAATAGATTTTGAAATGATCGCTGCAAGTGATAATTTCTGATGAAGCGTTTTCCAAAGTAAACCAGTATTAATCAGTATTGGAAGATGCCGATTTTTGTAGGACAGAGGTAGATAGATATCGATAGGACGAATCGCTCACGTAACTTTACGCAACCACTGTGTACCATCGCCACCATCACCGTCATCAAGCTCTTTTCTGCAGAATTGCTGAAAAAATATAAATTAGTCCTCGTGTACCTGTTTGGCCAGTTGACAGGCCTTGTCTGGTGAGTTGAGGATCTCGTAATAGAAGACAGAGAAGTTGAGGGCGAGACCTAGCCTGATCGGATGGGTAGGCTGCATCTTTGACTTGCTGATTTCGAATGCATCCTGGTATGCTTTCTGGCTGTCGTCAACCACCGCTGCATATTACGTGGATCATCAGCATGTCTGTCTTGTTTACGCGAACTAGCACGCGTCAAGTTCGTTGTATCAAATCAATTTTAAGAGCTGTGTAGAACTTGAGCGATCGTAACAAGCGATGTAACATTCGAATAATGTTTCAAGATACAAAAATGAGAGAATTGAATCTATATTTTTTTATAAAATATCAAATTAGAAACTCGAATAAATTGTAAATTTAGGATGTAAAATTATCTTTCTTTTCTATTACAATGTTACTAGTTTATTTCTTCAATTGTTTATATCATTATATCTTATTGAAAGTTCTATACAGCTCAATTGCTCTTGCATGTTTCTAGATAACTTTGGATATTTTTAAATTTCCAATTTTAAATAAGCAAATATTGATATTTCGCTAAATATTGTTATAATATTTAATAATCGCGTAAGTGCGCAAAATAAAAAATTATCGATCAGTAACGTAAACTGACTTTTATGAAAACCACGATAAATTTCTCAATTTAACACTTAATTAGTCTAGTAACACTTAAGAGCTTTTCTACCTGGCGAATAACGCGCTAGCATTCGCTTCAGAGATCAACATCTGTTTCCATTTAAACTACATTCCACAGATATACATCTGCAATTCTCTAAAACTCGACAGACCTAAATTCGCAATTTTTATAATTATCATCATTGATAACTTTATCTCAAAAAAAAAAGCAGCTTTAAACAAGATAATCTAATGCCAATTTTTTTTAGTATTTGATTAATTTAAACAAAACTTTTTAAATTAATTATTAACAACTACTATTATTAATGTTGAATTAGAAATGGAGAAGTAAAAAGAAACAGACCTTTAAATCAATTAATTTTTTTTTTTTTTGGTAAATGTTATTTAAATATTTTCGCACTGAAATTCATGCAATTCCAATCGTGAATGTTGCAACCGACTTTCACCGTAAACAGCTATAACTGCAACCGACTTTGTTTGCGATGTAAAAGTCCAGGGATCCGCCTATACGTCAATACGAAGCATCCTTCGATGCAACTGCATCGTACGCAAATACTTACAAGTTAAAGAGAAGCATTAAATTCACGCACTTGCATAAATGGACACACTTGTATCGATTTATGTTGAGAACACGATCGAAGCGAAAGATAACTCGTATGATTTTCTGTATAATATGCCCAATACGGCGACATTTAATTTTAGACGAAGCCCCCCTCCCTCTATCAATCGTACCAATATTCACGACGATATTGCTCGAAGAGTCGCGAACGCGAAAGAATGAATTTTATAATATTTCAAGCCCTACCCGCTTCAATCTGTGTCTACTAAGATCGCCCGATAAGGTGGCACACGGAAAAACGTAAACACGTAGGACTTGAGCAACAGGATCTGCTTACCGTTTTTCCGTGTGTTATCGGCCAAAGTCCGCGTGTAATAAATAATTGATACGTACTGTTTCTTGTCTCACCAGTGGCGACTTCTGCGAGATACCTGTAGTAATCACCCTTCATCTTGAGGTAGAATACTTTGCTCTCGGCATTGCTAGCTTTAGGGATCAGGTACTTATCCAGGAGTCCCTAAAAAGACAAATAAATCAATTTAGCTGAATGCTGACTTGAAAAAAATCTATCGATATAAAGTAAAAGAAAAATGTAAGATAAAAAAATTGATTTTTGCTTAAATTTAACTTTCTTCACTTATTCGAATAATTGATAAAGTATCACAATATTGAAGTGTAATGAAAAAAAGAATCTCACAAAGAAAACAATTTAATTGCGAAAATGAATCTCGCAATGTATATTAATCTCGCTTGTATCATTGCCAAGCAATTCTACTACCCAAACGAATCGCGTTGTTGCAATTTGATCGTATTTTGTAAATAAATTGATTTATTTCTACGATGCATAATATACAATTCACTTTTTATGTAGAATAATTGATCAAATCGACACAATAGTTTATATATAAAAGTAATCATGAATTTGATAAAAATGTGCAAATAAAATTTATTTAATATATAAAACACTAAATATATATATATTGCAATTGGCAATATCATCGATCAGATAAATGAATCGATTACTAATTGCAATAAGATAATAACGTTTCTTTAGTAAGGTATGCATTAATCTGAACATCGCAAAGTTGATGCGCATTGCTACGCCGGTCAATGATGAATCATCTAAAACGTCTTTTACGCCGCGTACATTCATGCGTCCCGTGGTTGTTTCTACTAATGATATAAGAGCAACGTAAACCGACTAACTTTGCATGCGCGAAACTCCGCGTGCCAACAGCACGAAAATATGTAATGCATTTTAATACATCAATTACTGCCAGGAAAACATGAGAGATAAAATAGAAACGAGAAAACACGAGAGATAACAATTTAGACGATTAATATAATTTAGAGTAATTAATAATAAAAAAATGAAAAAGTTTAAAAACAATTTTATATAATTAGCATTTTTAATGTAATTAAAAAAAATTGTTTACACATTGAGGTAAACAAGACATTAATTTAACAACTTTAATATTCAATCTAATTGCTGATGATACGAGTTTCAATAAGTAAATCTGCTAATTGTATTTCGATGTGCAAACGTGTAAATTGCGTCGTGTAATCACGCAAATGCGCAACGTGCATTGCAATAAAGCAAAACAGATACTAGTTTTTGTACGTCATCGTTTTCGTCTAGAACAAAAGATACCGGTTAGTTGTTTAAAATTCTCGCCGTTATTAATTTTAATCAACCACCGCTCGATAACTTTATCTATTTACGAAAGACAAAAACGCGATTGTGAATTATCAAAACGCATTTTTCCACAAATTCGATGAAAATTTCCGTAGTCTGCAAAATGGACTTTACAAAATGAATAACTATATCGTCTCAAATGTTTTGTTACTTTTTTTATTACACATGTTATTTAAAATTGTTATATGTATCGCATCCAATGCCTTCTGTATCATTTTAATCTATTTCATCCAATTGATTAGTTTCCATTCAAATAGATTTCTAAAGGCATCGTTTCGCAAAATTATGACACCTATTTTAAAATCAAGATAATGACAAACTTTTGTATTTTCTGTTTTATTAAACCGAAGCGATTTCAAACTGATGGCTGTATCAGGGTGCAATACAATAGTGCCACGCTTATCATGAATGACGTGCATAGAAGTGCGAGATGAGGAATGACACCGATTGTCCGGTGATTGCATTTCAAGCTGGAGCCTTGCTCCAGTTTCGCCATTTAACGCATATCTCTCGGACACGGCTCAAATCTGACCCCCTTTCCGCCCTATCACTCTACACCTGTTGCAGTTAGCAAAATCTTACGACTTCGGAGCAAACGCGCAGACTCGATGAAATAATTAAAGAACTTGTATTTAAAATATCTTTTGATTTATAACTTGTGAAAATATAATATTTGTAATAATATCGCAATAATTTATAGCCATTTAAAAAAGAAGCGTTGTGAGAAATTTCTATTTTTCAATTTACGACACTCGAGAATTCACAAAATTTTTTCTTTTTACTTTCAAAAAATTTTCAAACTACAATAAATAAAAACAAAGAAATTAGAACAATTTCTGTTTTTACATCGACATATTATCGAATAACGAAGTAAGACGAATGTGATAGTCTTTTATTCTTGCAAAGAAAAAAAGAAAAAAAAAAGACGTAGCACAGTCTCGAGCAAATTTAATTCTCTCCCAGAAAGAGCTTCCATTGCGAAGCGAAACGTGCCATTTCCGGCGACCCGAGGTACGTTCGTCTCAGCAGGCGTGTCCGTTTCCTCTTCCGTTTCCGCTTATTTCCGGATACTGGAAAATATCGCTCACGTAATGAGTACGGATATCGAATGGTACCCGAGGGCACGTGTAGCACGTAAAAAGCATCGGATAGATTACAATTCACCGAGTTTAATGAGTTTCGGCAACTTCCGAAAGTGACGACGAAGCTTGAAAAGTTGCGCTTTAATATGCTCACTATACTTCTTTGTAAAGAGGTGTCGTAGATGTCTCGAAGAACTTATTAAAACTTAAAAAACGACGTTAAGAAAATTATGCAACAAGGCGTGAATTATTATTAATAAAAAAAAAAGCAAACTTATTTATAATTAAAAATTTGTAAAATATTAATTAAAGAAATCTTCAAATTATATATCTTATTCTTATAAAAAAAAACTCACGAAACTAATAAAATAAATAAAGAACACTAAAATAATGAAATTACCTTCAATATGGTGTCAAAACTGTATGACAACAGTGAATGATTAAAAATAAAAGGCAAAAGAATTGGTTTCACTTTTATGCAAAAGAGATGGTATAAAGATCACGAAGCAAATAGTAGCCGCGTGAAATTCAATCTAAAGGATGATCTTCATCCTCCAGAGATTCCGGAGCAAGGAAGCACACGCGTACGCGAGAGATAGCGGAAGCTTGTAAGCTACGTAAAACGATACAAGAGCGGAAGAGAAAAACGGGTATTGCTCGCAAACAGGTTTTTGATGCGTAGGGCAAGACGCAGAAAGGACAATCCATCTCATCTCTCCAAGTTGACAGAGTGCTCGACTGCTAATGGATTAATTCTTTTTTCATTTTAACGAAGGCCTTAATCGCGAAAATATTTATCGTAAAAAATTAAAATAGATAACATAGATCTTGCCGATCAAATTCAGTAAAATGTACACTATTTAAACAGAAATTAAAATTAATATTTTCCATAATTACTTTTCAGATGGAAAATTTTATATGAGAATAAAAAAATCGAAACTTAAACAGTAAATGCTTCAAACATACAGCGCTGATAGCTTTATAGCGCATAAAATGAGTGTTTTTGTGGCTGCATTTTATTTCATTATAGCCGTTTGTCGACGACGCAGTAATGAATCGCTAGCGAATACTCGGCGCGTAGTTGGATGTATTTCGCACGCAACCGAAATTAATGCCTCTGATTTCTTCGACGAAAAAGTTGCTTATTAAAAAATTAGAAAAAACTTTCTAACAATCAGATGTCACATCAATCGTCTCGACGTAAGAAAGCAGCTGCTCACAGTTGACAGCAATTTTCTTTGTAAATCCATTCATTAATTTGTTATGCGCATTGAAGTTATTCTCACTCTTATTTATTTGCTGTAATAATTATGTATTTTTTCAAATAGATCGAAGACTCTATAAACATACTCTATACAGATTTGTACATTTCTTTTCCAATTTCTATTCTATCGTAAGACATTCTGTGGAAAATAAATCGTAAAGAATATTAGACAGTACAATATTCTAATATAATATTAATGAGTAATAAATATCCAAGTGGATATACTCTGGAATTCTATTTACGTGGGAATATAGAAAAAAAAAACATGTATGAAATCATCATTCAACGCAATTATACGAAATCGGCTATTTGTCGCAATTCTTGGAGTGCGACGTTTTTTTTTAGACGCAGCGTTCGCGAGCGTCGATTAGTCAACAGCGTCTAATTTTCTTCACCATCTTTCCGCTCGTCGCTATATATGGAAAACGTCGTGATAATTATATCGGCGCGGAAAAAAGGAAGTGGAATGCACTGCACGGCTGTTTTCGAAGTACGCAATACAATACGCACGAGTATCGGAATGAGTCTAAAACTCATAGACGAAGAAATCTCAAGACTTTTTATTTTATCAAACTGAACAAAAAGCAATTATTCGACAAAATTCGAAATTAATAACAATAGGAGATTGAAAAGTTAAATTAATCGAGTGATTATTTTCATAATAAAAAAAATTTTTAAAACGTCTTCTAATTATAGCAAGCATATAAAATTACAATTAAATATCCTTTTAATGATAACAAATTTATTCTGAAAAGATATTGCGCAACGATGGAACAACGGTGGTCTAGCACACTCACTTAAAATAGACAAGAATGCAAATTAGGCGCGACATGATCTTCAAAATCGACCTAATCTGGCTACTTCAACAATTGCTTCCACTAAAATTGGATTATTCAATATCAGTTTGTAAAATTTCACTTAATAATTCAAAGCATAATTTGACATTAACGCAAGAATATTAACATAAATAACAAGATACGTCAACGTACTAGATATTTCTTTTTATACAGTATATAATTTGTTGATGCTCTTTCCAGCAAGCCAAAAATATGAAATCTGAAATTATATTGAATGTATGTTACACTTGTGGTAAGTACACGTACATAAAAAATATAGCATTCCTGCGTGAGTTTCGTGATTCTATGAACTCTGCGAATTTATTTTCTCACTGTTATTAGACATGGCATAAGAATGTGCGATAAAACTGACATATTGCTAATATAGTCAACACTGTTCGGTGTGAAAACTCGTGATAGTGCCAACTGTTTGAAATACGACACCACGAATTCGTGTGGGAAACACGTACGCGCGCACACGTGTTTCGCGAGATGGAAAATTAATTTTGATCAAGAATAAAAATTGAATCTTTCGAATGTAAATTCATATTACGGGCGAAAATGAAATATACCGTTCTCCTGGCGACATTTCTTACATTGTTACAAATGTATCGATAGCGTTGATGAATCGTTTATTGTGTAAGCAGATTAGGAATCAAAATCATGCGTTAACAAAAAATAAAAAAAAAATATGAATTATTAAAATAAATTAATGAGACAAAGGTTAACATTAATGATTATTGAACAATATTATTTTTTTCACGCAAAGAATTAACATGTGAAAAGAATATAGCGAGTCTGCAACTGTGCATCTGTGCAATGCACCAAGTGCATTGTCGTTAACGGACTGTTTATCGCAGTATCGAATCATGCAAAAGGCTATGCGGTAGCTCAAAGCGAAAGGCCCGCCCCAAACAGTTGCACTGTACGGAGGAGTTCGCTTCATCAAGACTACAGAGTCGACTCAATTAGCCTTATTACGGTTTAATCATGAGCGTGATGTCTCGTGCCAATATCGTCCGAAAATAACTCTCAACGATTGTTTATCGTTTAGCGTAGCGAGAGCAGCAAAAATTTTCACTGTATCGATAATTGCAAATTCAGAATATGCACCGGAAGAGAAAATCATTGCGATACAAAAGTAATTAAAAGCACAAAAACTATTGTAATTTATTTTCCAACATAAAAGTAGCGAAAGCATTAATTTTCTTTCACATTTCGCACGCGTCTCGAAGATTAAATCGCTATAATATTGAGGAATTACATTAAGCGAAGGCGAGGAATATTAAAAACCTGTTTCTCATTATTTAGGTCGCGCCAAGACATTTGTTTAAACACGTTTACTTCTCGGCAAACAATTCGCGTTTCTCCCGCTTCCCGTACAAACGAGAAGCTTTACCTTGCATATTTCAATGCCGGCCTCATCTCTTATCGCTCATGTTGCTTTTCTTGTCTAGAGTAACTTCGATCAATAGCGGTCAGGCGACACAATGAGCCTGAAACCGCTGTGCAAACACAAGCGAATTACGTGTACGATGAAAAAGGCGTTTTATAGCTGGCACATATTCGATTCATCGCCATTTAAAAGGCGTCATTTTTATAACCTTTTAAATATTTTACGAGAATTAACAGTTATTAGTAATTTTCTATATTGACAGAAAAAATAAATGCGATAATCAATACAACTGGTGGTCTTTCCAAAGCCAACGATTTTTTTTTCATTATCAACAACACGTCACACGTGAATCGGCAGCTTTTTTCCCATTATTTCCTTTGTTTTTATCTTTTCTCTCTTAAACGAGGAAAACTCGCTGGAATGAGAAGAAAAAGACAACCGGTATGCCCGATTTAGGCTTAAACGAAAAGAAAAACGGTGCTATTACTCACCAATACATCGTAGCAAATCTCGCGCAATTCCTTCTCGACCTTTTCTCGGTATTCCTTGGCCATCTGCTGTTTGCGCTCGGAGCCCTCGGTCTTCTGCTCGATAGAAGAGATTACTCGCCACGAACTACGTCTCGCCCCTACGACATTCTTGTACGCCACCGAGAGCAGGTTCCTTTCCTCGTTCGACAGCTCGACTCCCGTCTCGGTGACCGCCTTCATCGCGGATGCCATATCGTCATACCTCTCCGCCTGCTCAGCAAGCTTCGCACGCTGTACCAATTCCTCCTTATCCACGGACATTGTGTCGGCTGAAATCAGAAAGAATGCGAACAAAATTTAACATTGATAAAATGCAAAATAATATTTCACTTTAAACATCAATACAAATGATAGATATTCATCAGAATTTTTATCACACTTGGCATAAGAAATAACAATCCGAGAAACCTTGCGTTTACTATGCAGATCACAGACTGTCGAATGAAAGTACGCGTCAAGATATCGAAGATGCAACATGCGACGACGCATAAAGGCCAGTAGACCGCGCGCTTCAATGTCGCTGGGTTCCTTTTGTCGCGTGTTCGGAGAGGTTGGGAAGAATAAGTCTCGCACATCGATACATTTAGAAGCCAGACACAATGACACAACGACACAACGACACAACGACACGACAATGACGACACAATGACGTATCCACGAATCACGGCTGGCCTCGTTTGCCCTAGCGAATGATCAACGAGCGCGTTCGTCTCAGAGAAAAGACTACTTTTTTTATTTCCCTTCCAAATCACGTGCGCGAGACCGAGTCTTATTCATAAGATCCAAGAAAAATCATGTACCGATACAAGGAAATATTTTCATGTTACAAAATATATGTGCATATTAGTAAATGAAATATCTGTTCTTCGAATTTATACGCAGAAAAATTTGGCTTAAAAAATTATCATATAATTTTGCTTCTTTATTCGGACGTAAAAAACAACATTGATTGTGCTAGACTTTTCACTCAAATTTTTCATTTTATTTATTATTTTATTTTAGTGAAATTAGATTTTTATTTTATTTTTAGGTTAATTTTACTACGAATTAACATTTAAATTTTGAGATTTTTAAATTGCAAAATTATAGAATTTTTTACTTTTACAAACATCTTATTTTTATTTCAAAACAAAATCCTGACAATATTCTTACGATGTGTTTACAAGTTAGGCAGTTGTCGGGTTCGTCTTATTCGACAAGAATGTTCAGGTAGATTCCGAGATGAGATCTTTTGATAATGAAAAGAAGAAAATAGGTCCTAAACCTTCGAAATATGAAGAATAATGGACTACATCCCTAAATAAAACAAAATTTTCTACACTTACTTTCTTCTTTACCAAGAAAAATTTTGTTTACGCACTATCCCATTTCTATTTTTTTCTTATATGCAACAAGATGGTATAGTAACATTTTATGCACGTAATAATTGCAGCTACATAATTATCACCTTAACTGTCTTATTATTATTCTATATTTTTTCCCCGTGCTACGAAAAAATATAGTTAAAAATATAAAATAAATAAAAAAAAACCATATAGTATCGAAGATACTAATCCAAGTGTTTTCCTCAATCTAATAAGAATTTAATCGTCGAAGAATCGATACAAACATATCCATACGCACATATGTGACTTGATATATACATTATGCTATCAAAACGAAGCTATCACATGTTACAAAAATGCACGCCCGCATGCACTTGCCACGTATTTCTGTCAAAATTGCGCAAGGAATGTCTATTTCCGGAATGAAAGTGAGATTGGCTATGAAATGAAGGCCCTTTGGGTATTACCGATCGAAGCACACACTAATGTTTTGTTATCTAGCAAAGCATGTTACGTAAAGTCTACTATAATTCGGATTTTTAGATATAAAATCTTCATTGATGTTTGTTAATAAAAACTCTGTGCAAAACGAAAAACCGTTCAAATTACCAAGGATAAATCATATTCATTATACAAATGTTGACTATAAATATTATATTTATTCGGAATAAGATAAATCAATGACATTCATTTTTCATTCAAAAGTACTATTACGTAATCAATTTTTTCTGATTCTCAGACATGGACGTGTATTGACTTAAGATTACGGACAATTTTGTTTAATCTCATCTCTTATCTCATTGAATTTATCATTTTAATCTACTGATTACAACATCATGGAACGTTTTACTAACCGACAAATATACCACACCACGTGTGACTATTTTACACAACAATCGCCCAATGAATCTTTTTTATCTGTTTTTACAGTATTCTTTATTTAAAAAATTTCAACGTGAATTATGTCGCGTAAGCTTTTACTAACAATAAATAAAGAAATTTTAATATAAAAACTATTAGAGTCCCTGTGCTACGACTACCTAATTTTAATCCTGAACAGACTTCGATCTCGACAGATTTAAGACACGTGGGTTATCGTCATGGAACATTCTGTTTGTTCCTTTTTTTTTCTTGTTCACTTCACATCTATCGCTCGATGTGATAAATCACTAAACAACTGGACGACTCGGTCAAACGACCAATATCTCGTCGGCGGATCACGCGCACATGTGAATCTATAAGTGGATAAGAGAATCTGACCGATAAAACGAACGAGTGAGTGGACACTTTCGATGCACTAAGGAAAGCGGATGATCATGTCGTCGAGTCACAAGCACAGACAGCCTACCGGTAGATGCATCATTATCGAGAAATTAGAAAGCGCAAATTCCGCTCAAAGAAGCCGTTGATACGCAATCAGTATTTAAGTCCATATTAATATTAATGATACAAATTTACTTTTTATGCTATATCAATATATTTTTTTCAGATATATATATATATATATAAAACAGAAAAAATAATTTTGAAAATTATATAAATTAGTAAACACAAATAAACATATAATTTACATACATTTTCAAAAGTTCAAAAAAACTATAATCGTAAATAAAAATTGTAATCATCAACTTAGTAAATTATCAGGTTCTCAAACATTTTACAAATTTTTACAAAATATTTAAATTGTTTTTCTCATTGTAATAATTGTAAAATATTTTACCCAATATTCAATTAACTTGGAGATTTACTACTTTGATTGATTCATAAATTCATGAATTCTTCGTATTTTAAAATTTTATACATTCCAAAAAATCAGTGAAAAGTTCTATAAAATAAATATTGAAATTTACATCTTTCGGAATACGTAATGCGCATCTATGAGAGTAACGAGATGTCGTAATGCGTTCGTTGTACCGACCTGAATGTTACGTCGTCGTAGTAGTAGTACGCGAGAGAGGAAACGATGATTCATACCGTAAAATTGAAAGAATGAATTACATCTCACAAGAGTGGGAAGTCAGTCCAGACGCATTTATAAAAGTATATCAATCAGTAAATCGCATAAAACACCGTACAAGAAAATCGAAAGGTATAATTTGCACGTAACGAGGTCGCATAAATTGCCTTGCAAATTTCCTTATATCTTAATCTTCACTGATTTATGAACTTAATTAATTACTTATTAATTCTTTATAATTACTAATTAATTTATATTACTAATTAATTACTTATTAATTCTGTAAATAAATATGTACTGTTGCGGTTTACTAATATATGTGCTTTAGTTAGAATAATCAATGTTCTTTCAAAAACCGTAACTTAGTCTTCGTAAGTCTTTCGTTTAACGAATTACAATCATGTAAGAAACAAATAAACAAGTGTACTTTTAATAATGATAAAAATAGTGCAAAACAGATATAATTTCCCTTGAAAATTAAACACTTCAACTTTGTCTGAATTAATTTTCAAGCGGAGGCAAAGTGACATGAAGGAGATCGAAGCACGCTCACGGTGCATCGGGAGATTTCCTAAGGGAGGTCTTCGCGGTGCAGTCATAGGAAGGGTAATTAAAAATACATCGTGGCGCATTAGAGAAGGGATTCTTCGTAAAAATAACTTGTAAATAAAATACGTTACGTGATCACGTTGCGCCACGAAAGTTTCTCAGCGATGCGCACCGCGTTCCCATATACAGAAGATATTCAATTTGATGCTATATATTTATTAAATTTTAAAAAATCAATTCTTGTATAATCAACATAAGATAGAAAAATTATCAAAAAGATATTCATATAAATAGAAATAAAATCTTTTAAATATTGATGTTTTACTCAAAGCAGTTAAAAATATTAACGATAATAGCAATTTCAACATATGAAAAATTTTAATTATTAGCTTAGTTGCAAGACAGTTAAAAAATGTATAGCATTTTTGCGAGTGGAAGTTCAGCGAGTTACAATATCAATCAGTATCGTTGAAAGGAAGTGAGGTTGGCAAGAGAGAGAAGAACCCTCATACGCGCAGATAATCTAGTATAGAACGAGTGGGTATCACATGGTACGATGATTCATTGCTTTAAAGCCGGTCGATGCCGTCGAAAAGCCCACGAGAGTACTAAGGGCCACTTAACCCTGAGGAATATAGACACTGCGCCCACTCGTTTAAAAATTTATAAATATCAAAGAAACAGAATTAAAACTTCAGAAAACCAAGTTTCTCGATATTTTTGATCTCTCACTTTCATTTTTCTCACACAACACCGACATCCATTTATATTCTCAACGAATTTTTATCCTAATTTATCTCTTATTTAAAAGATAGATGAAATATCGAGTTAAAAATCACTTATACATGCATAATTCGAAAACATTTTACTCAAATCTAAATCGAAAATTTAACTCCTTTAAATTCACAGAGTTTTGTGAATTAATGATATAAAATTTTCGTAAGAACGGATGTTTACTCATTAAAAGAGCGATACGAAAAATTGACAAGCTGTTTGGTCTTAAAATAATGCAGTTCTGTCTACGCGATCAGTAACAAGTCAAAGTGCAATCGCAGCTAATCACATATGACTGCAAACACTTCTTTCCCACTGAATCGAATAATTCGTGTGGGATAGGAAAGTTTGAGAATGTGCCGGAAGTAACGCCAACCAAGTCACCTGCCGCACAGGGAAAACATGCGATGATAAATGCGCCGATCGATGTCAAGCCTGCAATTTTTACCTCTCAATGTCACTCGACGAGAAATACGACATAAAAAAATACATTAAAATTCTATGATGATTTTTGCGCTTAAAATGCATATTGTCGATTGAGCAATTACATCTTTATTCAGGCAAAAGTATCGTTTTATGAATTCCTGAACTCGTAAATTATTACTGTCGGAAAAATATGCCGCAAATATACGTGACACATTATTTCACGGATTCTTAAATTGTATCTACGCAAATCCTTCATAAATGTAAATTCTACAAATTCTTGGCTTCGTGTATTTCACAGATCCTAAATTCCTCACAAGATATTATTACATTTTACAAATATTAAGTGTCACACAAAGCTAATTTTGAAATGAAATTTAAGTTTTACAAGTTTAATTTAATAAACCCTCCATAAACCAGCAATTTTATATTTTATTTTACAAAGATCTCTGCTTTCACATTTTCTCGAATAAGTAAGATCGTTAAAGAATCCTTATGCATTCTTTAGATTCTGAATCGAGATTCTTTGTCCCGAAAAAATTCTAGAATGTATAGACGTTATAGTTGATGATAGATTTTCGATTCCGGAAATCGTTTCGTTTAATTTCGACTGTCTATCGTCGTCGCGATTCATAAATTCTTGCCGCCTTTGAAAATCATCGGCGCCATAATAAATTCACGATGATATAATAAATCCAGATTAATATCGACGTCGGAGAAGGATGGAGGACCGGTATTACCCACGTTCTACATTTAAACGTCGACGCGAATCAAAGACTTATAAAGCGATGAGAAGCGAAAGAATTCTACACAACAAATGGCGAAAAGACCCGAGATCCGGTTTCATTAAACCGTTTCCGGTTCGCGGCATTCACTACTTTCTCGAGATGCACCCGGCGAAGAGGGAATGACATTCCGCGAGTATTCGATTTTCCGCGATGATTCCACAAATTCCACAAATTCCACAAATAAAGATAATGATTCTAGTAGTTGAAATTAGTTAAAAAAATAATTGCAAAATTTAAAACACTAAAAAAAATTTCTGTCAACTTTTGTTCAAAATTGATTACTAGTATTTTTTTATCTAAAAGAATCGAGTAAAAAAATTATAACCGATATTAATCACCTTTATTTTATTTTATGCTGAACAAATTGCCTCATTTTGCTAATTTATCAATAACCTTCCACCAATGAATCATCTGTTGTAAAAGACAGTTTGTTAAACAATCGAGAAATAACCTTGTACGCGCGTGATCGAGGTAAACTGCGAATAAAACTGCAAATTACATGTGAGAATGCGAAGAAAGATTACATGTGAAGATACGTATGCGATATGTGAGACACGCGGTTTCTCTTGAGAGGTAAACGATCGCGCGATGCTGTATTAGATATTTTTTTACGGACTTTATATAACATTTCGATGTTTCTCAAAACCGACGTATTAATCGATATTTTAAAAAAAGAGCGTGTCGCGCACAAAAAATCCAGACGGAAATATTGAACGAGCAGATATTCGACGTCCTATATTTAATCACGCGCGATCACCTGGCGACTTCGGTGGGTTAGCGGACGACGACGACGACGACGACAACGACGACGACAAGAACGACGTCGAGATGCCCCGTGTCGTCGTCGAAATATTTTTGGCGTGAAGAACTCTCGCAAAGCAGCCCGCGTGAGCATTTCACACGACGCGCGCGCGCAAACTCGTTCCAATTCCCAAACTACAAAGATTGTCTCCGGATTATTTCAAATGTAACGTATAATCCTGATCGATATATTTCAAAGTGCGAAAATATAGCAAATTTTATTTCCACAAGAAAAAAGTTCATTAAAATAAACCTTGAATAAAAAATAAAATTATTAATTTATTTTTTAACGTGCGCTGAACTGTGCATTTCCAAATTTCACATTTATTAATAGTGATTTAATTAAAAACTTGTTTCTTTGATGATATTTATCCTTTACAAAATATTTGGAAATGAGTATTAAAAATAATATTTGATACTAATTAATTTTGTTGTTAATTAGATGCAAAAAGTTACAAATTCTGAGATAATTGCTTTGTAACTAATAAATTTTTAGCGTTATTATCGTAGTATGACGCAATATCTTTTATTCTCATTTTTTTAGTGAAACGTTGGACCAATACTCGATCCTGAAAGTAAGTGCACTTTTTCCATTCCTCCTGAGCGAAGAAAGAATGCGGCTGGCGTCATGTGTGGGTAATCGACGCTTTTATGAATGCCTGCGGCCTATGCAATGTCGCGATTGCGATGCCGAGTAAAACCGTCATTGCCATTCTTACGCGGCGCGATTCATTAATATCGGACCGCAAATACGATAGTCGTAAACTAACTTCCACGTAGCTATGAAAATATTGATAAGAGTGCATATAATAAGTTATTCAAATATTAATAATGACGACTATATAATTAATTAAAGAACTATGATTTATTTCTATATTATACTTCTTGATAGAAACTATAATTTTTCAGACGATAAATTTGATTGTAACTTTCTGTTCCTATCATACTTAGTACATAAATAATTCAATTTGTTAAAATATATATTCCATAAAAATATAAAAAACATTCGTAGTTGTATTAATTGCAAATGTTAATTCATTTCTCTTGATTATCGACACATTATAATCTTTGACGAATTGAAATCTACGGAGATTGGATTGTATTGCGTTTTACGTAAACCGCGACTTTACGTAAATATGCTTGAAGCATCGGGGGAGACTCTGTTATCAGGGAAGTAAAACATGATACGATATAGGTACAGATAAACGCGGTGACTGATAAAATTAATATCTATATCTGCACGTTCAAGATGCTCCGACGAGCACTTATACATGTTTCTATAGCAATAATTCGTAAAACTGTTACGTAATGATATTTAAAGTTCGATATTAACGTAAAATTGATATATTCTATAATTCAGAATTTTCCACACTTTTTAATCAATATCAGTTATCAGCGTCAAAATAGATTTAATTACACATAAAATATAATCAAAGTCGTAAATATTTAAAGATTAAAATTCTTCATTTTCTTCTTTATTTAAAAAAATTTCTTATTTCTCGTTAACATTGATATATAGTGTAATATATATAAATTTATTAATATGTAATTTATATGAAATGAAAGCAAAAAATATCATTGAACTACTACTATAAATACACTCAGAAAATAAGGTTAGACTTCATATTTAACGAGATCTCAAGACTATCGACCGACGTAAGATTTGCATTGTCCTTGATAACAACGAACGATTATATGCTAATCGATCAATCGATGTAGAATCTGCACATCAAAGACAACGAAAAAGAAAAAGAACCATCACACGCAACATGTTAAAATGATGGATCAGAGTAGGATCTACATGATCCATGTAACAGAGTTGCGCGATATATTCCACTATCATTATAATTTGAGTAACAGAATTTAAAAAAAAGAGAAAATTTAACTAAAGATTAACTGTTATAAACTAAATTTCAAAAATTTAATAATAGGATTATCTTGTTCCTTTTTTAATTTTAAGTAAATTTAAATAAAATTTTATTTTAATTGACAAAATACTCGACATTAACACTTTCGCGATCGTTATATATTCGGCTGCTTGAAGCTGCTCTATTATATTGAACCGATGTAAAATCCGACATTTTTTTCATATTACACGACCTAATACAATGCAGAAAGTGCAAAAAGTAGTAAACGTAAAATTACGTGACCGGCTCCTGATTTACACCGAAGTATAAATATAAAAATATGTGAGTGGCCGCGAAAGTGTTAAAAGTAAAAAAAGAAATTGTCAATAATAACTAGCTTTCAAAATTTCGTTATTTATCGAGAAATCTCTTGGTAACGTTTTATTTCCAGTAATAACAAAATACCTGGTAGAAAGTTCGCGTTGGATATCCCGAGTGAAAATCATTGCAGAAAAACATATTTAGCCATAAGAAGTAACTTTCGTGGGAGATATACAGTACTGTTGCGACGAAGGTAGCGAAAGGTGCCTCGGAAAAAGACAGCGGGCAGATATTACTCATATCGTATCATGTGTGATTTGAGGTTATGGCCGCATGTGAGTGAACCAACGGACGACTGCTGCCTTTTAAAGAGGGAGCCGTCGCCAGTCGTAGTAGCGCCACGGCGCTACTTTCACAGAGCGAGAGTAAAATTTCCAATCGCATTCTAGAGCGATGTCTTGTCAATTATTGCTAGAGATCAATCGATCGATCGGTTGTCTGAACGAGATGTTGATTATCGACGAGTGTTAAACGTCTCAACATTGATCGAACAAGCCTCATGTAACACGTCAATGCGGAGATACAGATACGCGACGAGCTTCCGTTCTGCGACGCACTATGACATCGCAGAGATCGATAACCAGTTCGCTCAGTTCTCACGCCGACAAGTTCCCACGAGATAAGCGACCGAGCGATTTAGAAACGGCAGCGACCGTCGACGACCAGTCCGTCACGCAGGAAGTGATAAGTGCGTGGAAGTGGCCCGACCGACTTGCGCGCTATAGCATGCGGCTAAGAGGGAACGAACAGGCCAGAGGGCGCAAAAGCGAACGTGCGAGTAAGAGAGATATATTATAGACAAAGATAGGCATGGAAAAAAAAAATAAAGTGCGACGCAAAATCACGATTGTTGCACCTACCTATGATTTATAGTCCTTTATACAATAAATAGTGAAGTAAATACACGATCTGTGCGGATCCGTACACCGGTTCCGAACTAGGCGCGAACGCGCGGGGGAGGGCAAGCCGAGAAAGAACTTGCGTGTCGCGGTAACGACGGCGCTGACTACTACGCGCGATCCGGTTTTTTTTCCCTTTCGCTCTCTTTTCTTTTCTTTCCCTCGGTAACCGGAAGAAATGCGTGCGCGATACGAACGAGAGAGCGTGGAACACGAGCGAAAACTAAAACGCCGGCTCTTTATTCCTCGATCACACTCTCGATTACGATACCACACATCCCTCGGCGACCACTCCCGCACAACGACTGAGCCGGCAACGCCGCCCGTAGTGGGGAACTCGGTTCACCTCGTGCCGGGCCTCGGTCGCTCTCGAACGTACTCGACCACGTTCGTGACATCTCGTGCTCAAGCCGAAGTATTGATCGACTCGCAGCCCCGGCATGGCGGCCTGTCGACGAGGTTGGGTGGGGCAGCGGAGCGGCGCATGGCTGCGTCCCGGGATCCGACGTGCCGCGCCACGGCGACGATGACGACGCGACGGTTCTCTCGTATCTTTTTCTTTTTTTTTTCTTTCTTTCTTTCACTCCCGTCCCTCTCCTACCTATTCACTCGCTCTTTCGATCGTCCAACTCGTTTTCTGTCTCGCTCACTTTAAACACTTCGAAACTGCCTATCCGATACATATCTCTTTATTTTCCTTCATCGCTGCAACTATTCGTCCTCTCTATATATCTCGCACTTTGTCTCCTCTCCTCCCTCTCTCTCTT